CCAGCGACTTGGGAGGCTGAGGCAGGAGGGCTCATTTTTTTCTTTTTTTTTCCTGTCTGGGTTCAATCATCAGCACCAGGGAGGAAAAAAATGTCGTTTTGTTCTGAGTCATTAGGAATCCGAAAGGGAAAGCACACAAACAGCCCCACCCAGCAGATGGGACCCTAGGAATAGGGCAAAGTTCAAAGTTGTGCAGCAATCACCACACACAGAAGTTCTCTATTTATATTTCATACGATTTATCCCCAATATATATTTTTGACTAATGATAGTTGGCACATCCTACATTATTAGTAAAATTTAGGTTTATATTTCTAGAAATATCCAAAAAGGAAACAGCACAAATTGCTCTTGGCCTTGTATTGTAGGAAGAAGTAATAATGATAGCAGTTTCTTACAAATAAGCAGCAAGGGCTTTATAAAATGGGAATAGCATTGATTTTGTTCAGCACTTTAAGAATTTAGTTTCTGAGCCAGGCGCCGTGGCGCATGCCTGTAATCCCAGCACTTCAGGAGGCTAAGGCAGGAGGATTGCGAGTTCAAAACCATCTTCAGCAAAAGGGAGGTGCTAAGCAACTCAGTGATACCCTATCTCTAAATGAAATACAAAATAGGGCTGGGGATGTGGCTCAGTGATCGAGTCACCCGAGTACCAAAAAGAAAAAAAAAATAAAAAAGAATTGAGTTTCTGGCCAGGCACAGTAACTCATGTCTGTAGTTCTAGTGATTCTGGAGGCTCAGGCAGGAGGATTACAAGTTTGAGGCCAGCCTTAGCAGCTTGGTGGGACCCTATCTCAAAAATTTTAAAAGGGCTTGGGGTATAGCTCAGTGGCAAAGTGCCCCTAGGTTCAATTCCCAGTGTCACCGAAAGCTTGGTTCTTGTCCCTGATGCCAATCCAATAATGAGGACATGGTTTTGACAAAAAGGAAAAAGAAGGTTTATTGTTTTGATAGCAAAGGAGAACTCTCATACCAGAGGCTGTGATTCTGCCCATCAGCAGGAACAGGGGGCTTTTAAAGAGGTGACTCAAAGGCTACCTTCCACTTGTTCTCTGTTGGAGTTGTCATTCACCTGTTAATTTGAGAGATAGTCATTTCTGAGATCTTCTGGTACCATCCCTAAAGTCTAGATTACTGAATTTTTATAGTGAGTGTGTTCTAAGGACAGATAACTCTGCCCAGGATGGGGAAGAAAGGTAATCTGTTTCCCCTGAGATTATGGATGGGAGAAATTAGGGAGGAGCAGGGAGAGAGGAATAGAAAGAAACATGTCCATCAAAATTAAGTTGCTGTGGCAGAGCAGCAAGGGCTATTTATAGTCAAAGCATAAAGTGGACCATGGTTACTTTTCCACACTGTCAATTTCTACATTCTATTTCTATGGAAAATTGGGTGTCTCTTCCTGGTGAAAGAGGGTAAAGTTGGGGGAAGTAACCCAAAGTCCTATCAGGTGGATTCTCTATTTATTCTCTATCAGGTGGGGCATGGACAGTTCAGGGCATTCAGCATCAGAACAGCCCAGAGGTCCACAGTGGCAGATGGCAGGTGTCTGGACAAGGCATACATAGGGCAGGTATCAATAAACAAGATAGCAAAGCATTACTTTTTTTTTTTTTTGGTAAACAATTAGCACAAAAGCAATTAGTATTTCAGCCAGTCCGTGAAAACCAGAAAGACAGTAACTCATAATTATATCAGTGAAAAATAGATCAATTTTATCCATATGGAAGCTTAGGAAGATTTGTAGGTCTATGAGAGCAGGCTCAAATTAACTCAGGACAAACTTGCAATTCTAGAGTCCTTTGTGGATCATTATTAATAGGCACTCCCACACAAGAATCCTTCCTTTGTAGACTCTAGCTTTATTTATTTCGGGTTAGATTGACACAAGAGTACATCTTAAGTTACATAAAAAAAAAAAGCATTGTTTTTCCTTTTTTTTTTTTTTTTTTTTTTTGTAGTTTTTCATTTTAAATGTCCATGTAGGACTGTGCTTAGGCTATACTATCCTGCCAGGTGTTTAAGACCAAGTTGGTCAAAACTGACCTTGTTCCTATCTACTCTTAATAGTCAGCTGAAATTCCTTAGAGATCACTCTTGTGGTTGTATGTGAATCCTCTTTAGCTTTCTGCTACCAGGGGTGCCATCTGCCAGGATGGGTCAGAGTCCTGATGACCATATGTGGCTTCTCTTGGAAGCATCAGGGACAATTCTGTCTCCAGTGACCCTCCTCTTTGCAGAATGTGCATTGGTTAGTTTCCTGTTATCTAGGGTCCTCTCAATCTCCCTGATCAGCAGATTGGGTATCTCATCAGAATTTCAGGGCCCAGAGAGGGGTCCCATCATTCTCTGCATCCTGGCTGACCTTAGAGGAAAAGGGCCAAAATGTTGGATGCTTTTTCTTGGCCCTTTTACTTCCTTGACTTTGGTCTTCGAGTTTTTGGTTTTAAACTCCCAGCAAGCCAGTTTCACCAATCTTAAAGAGGGGGTAACAGGGGCTGGGGATTTGGCTCAGCTGGTAGAGTGCTTGCCTTGCATACACAAGGACCTGGGCTTAATCCCCAGCAACTAAAAAAAAAAAAAAAAAAAAGAGAGAGAGGAAGTAAAAGGTTATAACTTCAATTTCTATAATTTTACAGTTGCCCCTTTCATAATTGGGGTTAGTATTAGTACTGGAAGTCAGCATTATATAATATCTGTCCTGTAGGTGATGGCTTATAATCTCAAATTAACCCAGGTTGTTTTTTCAGAAGTAGTACCTCTGCAAAACACTAATGGGCACTGCAAATTGGTATAGCCAATATGGAAAGCACTATGGATTTTTTTTGTAGATGGACACAATACCTTTATTTTATATATATATATATTTAATGCGGTGCTGAGGATTGAACCTAGTGCCTCACACATGCTAGGCAAGCGCTCTACCACTGAGCTACAGCCCCAAAAGTGGTATGGAGATTCCTTGGAAAACTGGGAATGGAACCACCATTTGACCCAGCTATCCCTCTCCTCAGTCTATACCCAAAGGACTTAAAAACAGCACACTACAGGGACACAGACACATCAATGTTTATAGCAGCACAATTCACAATAGCTAAACTGTGGAACCAACCTAGATGCCCTTCAGTAGATGAAAGGATAAAGTAAATGTGGTATATATACACAATGGAATATTACTCAGCAATAAAAGAGAATAAAATCATGCCATTTGCAGGTAAATGGATGGAGTTGGAGAATATAATGCTAAATGAAGTTAGCCAATCCCAAAAAACCAAATGCTGAACGTTTTCTCTGGTATAAGGAGGTTGATTCATAGTGTGGTTGGGAGGGGGAGCCTGGGAGGAATGGATGAACTCTAGTTATGGTAAAGGGGAAGGAGGGAAAGGGAGGGGGGGCATGGTGGTAGGAAAAGCAATGGAATGAGATAGACATAATTACCCTAAGTACATGTACGAAGACACGAATGGTGTGACTACTTTGTGTACAACCAGAGATATGAAAAATTGTGCTATATATGTGTAATATGAATCAAATGCATTCTATTGCCATATATAACAAATTAGAATAAATTAAAGAAACACAGGTAACAGTTATAAGGTTTACAAGGAAAATACAAAATGAAATTAACAGAGCAAAAAAATCAGTTTAATAGCTATGAACCACGAAAAATGATTTTTATAATCTTAAACCTTTACTTACTTATATATTATACCCCCTGTTTGAGGTCACAGTCATCTTTACAACAAAAATCAATCTTTTGAACACAACTTTAAATGAGCTGAAGTCTAGCCTATTTTGGAGCCATTCTAACATGGAGTGAGGTGGGAGGCAGAGCCTTATCTCAGATAAGGTGGAGGCTCTTCACAAATAATACAATACAACATTACATCTGGAACATGAATCAAAGTTAGGCTAAGAGAGCTTTTAACTTTCTTTTTGTGGAAAAAGTGGCAGAATGATTCCATGTTGCACAATGTCACCTTTAAAGAGATCAGACTCTCCTTATTATCTTTCAAAAACTCATTTAAATTCCAGTTGCAGTGTGGAGAGTACCACAAATTTGCATCTATAGCTTACTGAAAACAGGTTACTTTATTCAGCTATAAAACATCAAATGACATGAATATATGCCAACCAAATTTGTTATTTCTATACAAATCTGAGACTATTGCTACAGATAATTTTAGTTTGGAGAACAAGCTTGGTAAAGTGGTCTCCTAAGCTTTACATTTAACTAAGTTTAACTTTAAAAGTACAATTTAGAACCCAGAGTGTACAGTAGCAATAATCACAGGTCTGCATGGGTTAGAGTACTAGCAGAAATCAAAGGATCACCTTAAATCTCTTCTACATTCAGGAAACAGTGTTAAGGATCAGAAATTGACTTTGTCAAAGCAAACAACACAGGTCTTCAAGTGACAGTGTGGCCCTTGTATGTCAGATACAATGTACAAAAGAGAGTACTTATTGGTTATCTTGTCAGTAATCTTACATAAACTTTCATTTTATAAACTTTTATATAACACTTATATAAGACTTAGATATAGTTTTCAAATGCATACATATACCTAGTCACATATATTTAGGGTATCAACTATATTTTGTTATAACCTAAGTAACAGTTATTTGTTTAACTAGTTACAAAGTAATCACTTATGACTTTAATATATGACATGCCTGTAATCCCAGCGGTTTGGGAGGCCAAGGCAGGAGGATTGCAAGTTCAAAGCCAGCCTCAGCAAAAAGCGAGGTACTAAGCAACTCAGTGAGACCCTGTCTCTAAATAAAATACAAAATAGGGCTGGGGATGTGGCTCAATGGTCAAGGGCCCCTGAGTTCAATCCCCGGTACCCCAAAAAACAAACAAAACAAACAACAAAACAAAACAAAACAAACAACAACAACAACAACAAAAACAGGAGAGAATCACTGAAGCCAGGGCTGACAGATGGGAAACTTTAAAACAGACACACCTGCAGGTACAAATGTCTTCCACTTACTTGACTTTACCAACTCCAACAGCAAGATTGTATAATAATCCAGAAAGCTATTCAAAAGCCAGATGGTTACAGTAAAACATTATCTTAGACAGGCTTATCCTGTAGGTGGTCCTTTCTTCAACTCACTTTACCTCTGACAGACCAACTCCAGTTGTAAGACTGTTCAAAAAAGAAAAACAGAGAGACCACCACAGAGAGGACCCCCAAACCATGGCTGACAGATGGGATCAGTGCAGTATTGGCTATGTTTTAAAAGGAGGTAATAACAGATATAAACAAAATGAAAACACAGTCAACCGGAGGGAGTTCCCAAACCCAAGGCCAACAAACAGATGAGAACCTAGAATAGATCTGAAGGGAGTAAATATCCTGCTTAACCAGGACTCCTACACCAGTGGTGCCACAGGTGTCCCCACAAACAGGGACCAGATGTTCCCATGAAGAGGAAACAGGTGTGTAAAATCAAAGGTCTTGGCGTGCACATGGGGGACTTACCAGATGGCCAAGGGTGTTGTGACTTTACTGAGTTCAGTTTCCTTTTTCTCAAAGTGGACCACAATGGGAGAGAAAGCAGAAGTTCTCCAAAGCCAAAGGAGCTTTGGCAGCTGCTGGGAGGGTCCCTCAGTCCCTCCCTTTGCTCACAGGAACTGCTCCTCTGGTTCAACCCATAGCAAACTCACCCATCTCCTAACGCTCTAGCAGTTGGCTCTCAACAAGTTCGTTAGCATCTTGCATCCCAGCATGAAAGTGGGGTTCTTTGGAGAGCCAGGCATGAAAGTGGGGTTCTTTGGAGAGCCAGGTCTGCCCAAGAAAGCTGGAGTGGGGGCTGCTCTTGGGTCCCATCTAGGGTGCCAAATTTGTTACCTTGTCCCTGATGCCAATCTAATAATGAGGACATGATTTTGAGAAAAAGGAAAAATAAGTTTTATTACTTTGCTAGCAAAGGAGAAACCCAGAGGACTCCCATCCTAGAGGCTGTGATTCTGCCCATCAGCAAGAACAGAGGCTTTTAAAGAGGTGACTAGAAGGCTACATTCACGTGTTCTCTGTTGGAGTTGTCATTCACTTGCTAATTTGGGGATAGTCATTTCTTTTCTGAGATCTTCTGGTGCCATCCCCCAAATCTGGATTACTTAGGTTCTATGTTGTGTGTGTACTCAAGGACAGGTAAATCTGCCTAAAATGGGAAAGAAAAGTAATCCTGTTTCCCCTGAGATTAGAGAAGGGGAGAAATTAGGGAGGGCAGGAAGAGAGGAAGAGAAAGAAACATGTCCATTTAAAAAATAAGTTGCAGTGGCCAAGCAGCAAGGGCTATAGTCAAAGCATAAAGTGGACCATTGTTACACCAGCACCATAATAAAAAAAAAATTTAGTTTTTTGCTTTAAACACTTCTAGGAATATTGCATCTGGTTGTCCAATAAAGGTAATTAATAATGCAGGGTTATTAATAGATATATATGTGCACGTGCGCGCGCACACACACACACACACACACACAGGGGAACCCAGGAACACTCTTTCACTAAGCTACACCTCCAGTCCATTTTATGTTTCAGAAGTTACCCAAGGTCTCTAAGTTTTCTAGGCTGACCTTGATCTTGTGATCCTCCTGCTTCAACCTCCTAAGTCTCAGGGAGTATAGGTATGCGCTCCTATGCGAGGTGAAACAAGTACTTTTTATGTCTACCTGTTTAATATGCCTCAAGTCAGGTTTATTTTAAAATTTTTTTTTATTGCTGCCTTTAATTATACATAATAGTGAGACTGGTCATGCTGCCTTCTTACATGCACATAACATACATAATTCCATCAATCTCATTCTGCAGGACCTTTTCTTTCCCTCTCCCCCTCTTCCATCTGCTTGCTCTGCTGATCTCCCTTCTATTATTATTATTATTATTATTATTTCAATTAGTGCATTGTAATTATACATACAAACAGGATTCATTGTAGTGTATCAAGCCAGATTTCCTTAAAACATTCTAACACTAGGCACGGTGGTGCACGCCCGTAATCCCAGCAGCTCAGGAGGCTGAGATAGGAGGATTGTGAGTTCAAAGCCAACCTCTGCAAAAGCAAATCACTAAGCAACTCAGTGAGACCCTGTCTCTAAATAAAATACAAAATAGGACTGGGGGTGCAGCTCAGTGGTTGAGTGTCCCTGAGTTTAATTCCCGGTACCAAAAAAACATTCTAACAGTGACATGCAGTGCCCTCTTATCTGTCACCCATCTGGAAGGTAGCCAAAGAGTAAGTAGCTATAGCAGGCACTGCTGCCCACTTTTAGGAACCAGCAGCCTGTATGCTGGGAAAAGGGGAGGATATGGGAAGTGATAACTCCCGGCCTTGATGCAAGCTGGGGACTAAAAGATCTAAGTCAGCGCTGGGTTCTAATCCACAGCTATCACCTCACTTTTGCATCTTTGATCTGTTCCTTCCCACTGGACACTTGCTTCCCAGGCTGCTAGTTACACCCCCACATTCCTTAACAAAGCAGAACTGATCAGCAGAGACCGACTTGCTGAACATGGTGTCGTCCAAGAACGGCCCTCCTGAGTCACTGATCATTCGGGGCTTCCCTCTTTAGGACATTTCTCCCCTACCCCCACATGCCTCTGCAGGTCCCCTGTACAAGGCTACAGTTGTTCCAAGGGCTGCCATTGACTTATTCATGCAGGAAATTCATCTTGAGGACTGAGTAGACACCAGGCATCGTTCTCCTGCTGGGGATGCAGCAGTGGAAACACAAACCCTGATCCCAGCCTTGGTGGGCTGTGCATTCTATTAGAGGGAACAGACGGCACATAGATCAATGTTAATTGGGAGAAAGGGCTAGAAAGAAAATCAAGTCAGGTACTCAGGAGGGGGAGGCAGGAAGATAGCAAGTTGGAGACCAGCCTTAGTGGCTTAGCGAGATCTGGTCTCAAAAAGGTGCCATCCTGTGTGGGGGCATGACTCTGTGATGGTGTCACAGTGACCTTGCTCATATCTGCTTAGGCAATGTCTTGAACAGTGGTTTATCTGAGTCTTGGCAGAACGCCTTGTGATCTTCATGGACATGGAGGGAGCTGCTATGGGGCCACCTTCTGTCGAGCAGGGAGCTGTCCTGAGACACTGCATGCACTGGGCCTCTTAGTTGTGGTAGTGGACTTCTTGGTGGGTGAGACAAAAGTCACAGGGACCTAGCATCTTTGGCTTATTCTTTTTGCAATCTGTAAATTACCTAAATTATTCTCTTTGCTTTAATACATGATCGAAGTTTGAAAGTGGCTCCTTGTAACCTCACTGATTCACCTGGTCAGGAGGTGGCCTTGCCAGGAGTGAGCTTGATACCTGCACGTCTCGTTTCTGCTCTCCAGGCGAGCAGCCCAAGGCTCATAAGCTCACCATCTCCTAGGAGTGTCCTTAGCCATCTTGCCTGTCAACTTTTCTTCCAGGCATGTTTCATTTCTGCTCTGTTGAATTGCATTTCTTGTTTCCAATCCTTCCTTTCAAACCACACCACTCTCAGAGTAATCTTTTCTTTTTCTTGGTACCAGGGATTGAACCAGGGGTGCTTAACTACAGAGCCACATCCCCATCCTTTTTTTTTTTTTTTTTTGTATTTTATTTAGAGACAGGATCTTGCTGAGTTGCTTAGGTCCTCCCTAAGTTGCTGAGGCTGGGTTTGAACTCACGATCCTCCTGCCTCAGCCTTTGAGTCCCTGGGATTACAGGTTGGTGCCACTGCAACTGGCCATAGTAATCTTAAAATGCCATTTTGTACATGGTGCCCTAAAGTTCACAGATTGTAGGTTGACATGCTTTAGCTTCTTGTTCAAGACTCTTAACATTTGGTCATTCATTACTTCTTCAAATTTCTTTCCCAAGAATCCTCTGTATCAACCTTTTCATCTCGCCATCTTGTCCAGCATGTGGGTCTTTGAATTTGCCAGATTGGCATCTCCTGGAAGGCCTAGGCTAAGTATCACTTTCTTTTTCCCTGATATGTTCCTCCACCCTGAATTCTCTGAAACTGCAGGTGACTGAATTCTCTGTGGGCTTGCAGATGAGTCAAAAGTAGGAAATGACTGGAGAAGCTTGGCTTGGTGGTGTACCCCTGTAATACCAGTGGTTTGGGAGGCTGAGGCAGGAGGACCTTTATTTTATTTATTTATTCATATGAAGTGCTGAGACTCAAACCCAGTGCCTCACACATGCTAGGCAAGTGCTCTGCCACTGAGCCACACCTCAGCCCTCCTATTTTTTATTTCTAGACAAGATTTCCCTAAGTTGCTTAGGGCCTTGCTAAATTGCTGATGCTCCCTCCAACTTGTGATCCTCCTGCCTTGGCCTCCTGAGTTACTGGGATTACAGGCGTGTGCCACCACACCACATTCCTGTTGAAAACAGCAGTGTAGGAGACCCCTAAAATTTGCCATATAATTTTGCTGTCTGCATAGCTGTGGGGTGGAAGAGGAAGAAAGGTCTACAATTGTAGCCAACTGCATAAGGCTGCTTGGACCCCATGAGGGGTAGGAACCCCTGATGTAGGCAGAAGATTAAACCCCATTAGGATTTGGCGTTATCTCAGCTAAGTGTCACACTGGTATCTCAGCTAAGTGTCACACTGGCTTATCGTTAACCTTTCTGAATCACAGTGTACTCATTTGGAAAACAGAAATTATATCTGCTCTGCTTACCCTACTGACTTTCTAAAGGAATAAATAAAATACTTTACATAAAATTGCTTTTAGATGATTGAGTGCTCTACAAATCTCATTATGCCACTTAATTCCAGGCCATGTGGTTCCGTGTATTATGTTCCAGTTGACATCATGTCCTGCTTATCTCAAAATACTAAGTTCATCTTTATCTTTCGTTCCCTCCCCCTGGTTGTCTGAGTGCTTCATTGGTCTGGAGTCCATTGCAATTACCTCAATCATAGCCGCAAGCAAAGCTTTGGGATCAGACCCTGACAGCCCCCGCTCTGTTGATCAGGTTATAGCAAGGCTCCTGCATCATTGTAGAGCTTGTTGAAGAGGAAAAGAAACTCACTGCAGATGGGTCCCCTCCTCTCCGAAAGGAAATGAACATATTATTTAAAGCAGTGCATCTCAAATTATCCCTGGTGAAGGACTTTCGTCTGTCTTACTTGCTTTCTTCTTTTTTGTACCAGGGATTGAATTCAGGGGCACTCGACCACTGAGCAACATCCCCAGCCCTGTTTTGTATTTTATTTAGAGACAGGGTCTCCCTAAGTTGCTTAGGGCCTCTCTCTTGCTGAGGCTGGCTTTGAACTCTCGATCCTCCTGCCTCAGCTTCCCAAGCTGCTGGGATTACAGGCGTGCACCACCGCCTGGTTTTAGTTTTGCTTTCTGAAACATCGTATTAATATTTTTTAGAAAATTAAGAGAAAAATGATAAGACCTGTAAATTACGAACTATGTTTTTTTTTTTAAACCATTAGATTCCATAGACAATTGACAAAATAACTACGAAAATGTCTAGATCTTACTTGCAATTTCTGTGCTTTTGGTGGATTTGGAAGCAAACAGTTCACAAAGAGTACAGATTTAAAGGCTACACAGGTATTTCAAGAAGATGAAGTCCAGTGGAGAATCTGATTAGCTGATAATCAATGGATGGTCTCCCCTGGTCCAATCAGCTTCAAGGGATGAGTGATCCCATGGTATACATGCCACCAGTTGACAGAGGATTTGGTTGATTTGGTTGAGAACAACCTGGCAGAGATACCAGTTGGGAGATTCATGCAGGCATGCAATAGAAGATGATAGCTTGCTGTTTTCAGGGCTGCCCTTTGAATGCAGCATCCTCAGCTGGGAACTGGAGCTCTGTTCTGCAGAGTACGTGTTTTGTAATACACAGAGCAGAATCTTTAAAAAGATATGCAAGCGGGGGTTGCATATCTAAGCACCTTAGTGAGACCCTGTTTCAAAACAGAAAATAAAGAGTTGGTGATGTGGCTCAGTGTTTAAACACCCCTGGGTTCAATCCCTGGTACATGAAAAAATAAAAAATAAATAAAATAAGAAAAAGCAGTGGGTAGGATGGCAGGGGATCAACCTCTAGCTCTGTACAATGGGTTTAATAACGTCTAACTCAGAATTATATAGGTTGTCACAGGCTAAAAGTAAACACACCTTACAAATACCCAAGTGTTTGCTGAAGCTATTTAAGAAGTCCAAACATGGAATTGTTAGGAATTAGTAAATAAGAAAGCTTTCCTTGTGAATTTCAGCTGTTATCACAGCTATGTAATTCATGTATAAAATTATCCCTCAAGAAAATCCGTGTATCGTGTTTTTTTTTTTTTTTTTTTAAAGCATGTAAGTGAACAGTTAGTTTTATTTCAAGAATTTTTGTAAAAATGGATGACTGTGGCCGGGTGTGGTGATGCACACCTGTCATCCAAAGACTCAGGAGGCTTGAGGCAGGAGGGTTGCTGAGTTCAAGGCCAGCCTGGGCAACTCAGTGAGACAGTCAATAAAAAATAAAAAATGTTAGGGATATACCTCAGGGGTGGAGCGCCCCTGGCTTCAGTGTCTTTCTCTCTCTCTGTCTCTCTCACACACACACCCACACACAAAAGGAAAAGAGAGAGGAAAAAAAAGGACATCTAGGATCTGGGTAAGGATGACAGGATAAAGTAGGACCATAAACACTCTTTCCTCTAAGACCTGATGAAATGAAAAAAACGTTATCTGTGACAAACGTTCTGTGAGAGCGAGGTCACAATCATAAACCAAAGCTTCATGAAAACTCAAGTGGAAGGAAACCCTCTGCCAGACCATAGGATGCGCCCCTCTGCCCACACTAGAACCGTCACAGCACCCTGTGTGGCCACAGGTGGTCAGGGAGTTGCCAACCAGTAAGTGGATTTCATATAAAGTCTGTCTGATTTCTACAAAAGTAGGCTCTTTCCCCAGGGGCCTGCTTCCCTGGGTCAGAGCTCTCTAGCTTCCACAGCCCCCTGCACCTACCACCTGCCCAGAGCCTGAGGGCCTCTGAGGCTGCAGCTCCAGAGAGGGCATGGGTTTCACCTGACAGAGGGACAAAACCAAGATAATGCCCCAGAGGCAATCAGCGTGGGGGCTTGGTGTCCAACCTGTTCTTCACCATCTCACATTTCACTCCATTTGTTTATGGCTCCGCTCTGCTGGGGGCCTGTCTACAAGCAAACGGATGTGTTTATGTACATGTGGACACTCGGTGCCTCTAGACTACAAAAGCCACACCATGTGAATTTTATATTCCTTCCACTCAAAAGTTCAGGACTTACAACTTGCCACATTGTCAAGTTTGACCTGCTGTAGACCAAGAACTATTTTCTGGAAGTGAATTCAAAGTTTCTTTCTTTCTTTTTTTTTTTTTTAAATATGGAACGCTTCACGAATTTGAGTGTCATCCTTGCGCAGGGGCCATGCTAATCTTCTCTGTATCGTTCCAATTTTAGTATATATGCTGCTGAAGCAAGCACTCAAAGTTTCTTAATTTGTCTCATTACTGTGTCAAAAACAACACAAGGGCTGGGGTTGTGGCTCAGTGGTGGAGCGCTTGCCTGGCACGTGTGAGGCACTGGGTTCGATCCTCAGCACCACATAAAATAAATAAGGTATTGCGTTTATCTATAACTAAAAAAAAAAAAGTATTAAAACAACAACATAAGAAGCCTGGTGCAGTGATGCACGCCTATAATCCTAGCAACTCAGGAGGCTCAGACAGGAGGATAGTGAGTTCAAAGCCAGCCTTAGCAAAAGTGAGGTGCTAAGGAACTCAGTGAGGCCCTCCTCTCTCTAAATAAAATACAAAATAGGGCTGGGAATGTGGCTCAGTGGTTGAGTGCCCCTGAGTTCAATTCCCAGTACCCCCAAAAAAACCCAACAAACAAACAAACCCCTCCCCAAACCCACAAGACCATACTTTTATTATTTTTAATTTTGGGGGGCACTGGAGATTGAACCTAGGGGTGCCTTACCACTGAGCTGCATCCCCAGTCCTTTTGAGACAGGGTCTTGCTAAGTTTCTGAGGCTGGCTTTGAACTTGCAATCCTCCTGTCTCAGCCTACTGAGTTGCTGGGATTACAACTGTGCACTCATGCCCCGCTAGTGTTGCACGTTAACTTTTATTAAAAAACAAGCGAACATCTTTATCAGATGCTTCAATTCTCATTTCTGTCTGTAGGCAATGATCACAGTATAGACCCAACACAACAAAAGCAATCAACACAGGCTGATAAAGTGGTAGGTACCAGGGCTGTGCTCAAACAGGGAAGAAAATACCAAAGGCCAGTTGGAGATTCAGGTAGAGTCTCCACAAGTGTCCTCAATACTGTGATTCTGATATGAAGTAGTCACACCCTCAAAAGAGTGCCTGGGCCAAGGACTCAGCTGGACTGCTTTGAACTTATAAAGAATAGATGTATGGACCACAGTGCCGATCTATCTGCGGCAGTCATTCAAGCAGATCAAATTGCAAGGACTGCCAGCAGAGCCCAGAACTCGAATAAGAACAAATGCTCTTCAGTTTCTCAAGTAGCCCAATCTATTCCTCTGATCAGGATGCTCTCTTACCTGGATAATGCTAGAGGAACAAGGAAAACAGAACTTTCCAGCTCATCCTTTTCAACATTCTATGTCAGTCCCCCAGAAGTACAACCCACACGATGAAAATTTTCTAGATTATGGCTCCTCTCCTGTTTAGTGCATTCTGCACTGGCACCTTCCTTTAATAGGGAGGTAGCTCAGGGTATCTTTTCTGACTGGGGAAATGTCCTTGGTTGAGTACCAGCAACATGTTGCAATAGGATGACTTTTAAAAATTCTTTCCCCAGAATCTTAAAATATAGTCCTCCATCCTCAAGATTGAACTCAGGGCTTCATATGTTAGGCAAATGCTCTACTACTAAAGCTACCTCCTATCCTTGTTTTTTTTTTTTTTTTTGGTAGAGGAGATTGAACGCAGGGGCACTCGACCAATGAGCTACATCCCCAGCCCTATTTTGTATTTAATTATTATTATAATTTTTTTTAGATATCAATGAACCTTTGTTTATTGATACGTGGTGCTGAGAATCGAATCCAGTGCCTCTAGGCACTGTGCTCTGCCTCTGAGTCACAACCCCAGCCCCTGTATTTAATTATTTAGAGACAAGGTCTCACTGAGTTGTTTTGTGCCTCACTTTTGGTGAGGCTGGCTTTGAACTCATGATCCTCCTGCCTCAGCCTCCTGAGCAGCTGGGATTACAGGTGTGTGCCACTGGCCCCAGCAGAGGCTATTTATATATGGTAGCAAATACATCAATTTGAATAGGATGCAAACAAGTTTTTCAGAGTTCTTAGAATGATTTATTTGCGTGTGAAGAAGTATGTTAGCAAAGTGAAGGAAAAACAATTTTAAGGACATTCAATTATTTTTTTTTTGTACAGTATTCTCCTGGCAAAAGCCTTGGATGCTGAGGTTGCGCCTCAGCGGTAGAGTGCTTGCCTAGCACATGAGAGGCCCTGGGTTCAATCCTCAGCACCACATTAAAAAAAATATATATATAATATAATCTGGGTGAATATAAGAGGCACAGATCATCAACAGCTTTCAGGTTTCCATGCACAGGAGAAATGTCTGAGTTCTTGTTAATACCAAGAGATTCCCATGTCCCAAGTCCAGAGACAATGATTTATTAAATCCAGAGTTGGGCTCAGGAAGCTGTAATTTCAATGACCTGTCTACCTGATTCTGATGTTGAGGAGAGAACACTTTGAAAAACACAATGGGCTTGGGATATGGCTCAGTTGGTAGTGTGCTTGCCTTAAATGCACAAGAAGACCCTGGGTTCAATCCCCAGCACTACAAAAAAATTCCAAAACCCAACAAGACAGGTCTTAAAGGGGGATTTCGGCATACTCCCCCACCCCACCCTGCAGTACTGGTGATTGAGGCCAGGGGCACTCTATTGCTGAGCTACAATTCCAGCCCTTTAACAAATTTTTATTTTGAAACAAGATCTCTCTAAATTGTCAAGGCTGGCCTTAAACTTGCAATCCTCTCGCCTCAGCTTCCAGAGGTGGTGGATTAGAGATGTGTATCACCATGTTCCTCACAGGGACACACTTTTTAAAAGTAAAATAAAAAACCTTTTTCTGTCTTATTGCTAAGCATGTAACTTCATTTGGATTGAGATATAGTAACAAAATTATATTTTCTTTTTAAATTTATAGATTTAAAGAACAAATTAACATTTCACTGTCCTAAGCTGGGTGAAAATAGGAAGAAAAAAAAAAGTCTCAAACAACATTTCTGAATATAAAGTGCTGGTTCTTGCTTTACTATTATTTTGAAGGACAATTGCACAAAACTATCAACCATTCTATTGAATGGCCAAATTTGGTATTTGAGTCCACATCAATCTGTATTTTAACAGAGCCTTTAAAGTTTTCTAGTTAGTGCAAATTAAAATCCCCATAACATAAATTAGAAACAATTTTACTTTATAGTACAAATGCAAATTATTTTTCTTGACATGCTGGTAGTATTAATTTTTACAGTGCAAAAGAGATTATGGAATTTCTAAGTCACAGTATATTTTACAATTCTAGGCAAATACATTTCAGAAAGTAAACACTACATGTTCTTGACATATCCTAAAAAAATAAAAATAAATAATTTTAACTATAAAAAAATTTACAAACATTAGCATTACAATAAAGGTTCACATCTAATTGTTGCAGAAAACCTAAATAATTTAAACCATGTAATCTTACTACTAGACGACTCCTATTAAATATAACAAAGCACTGAAAATTATTATCTACCTCAGGGATCTATAAGAGCTGCCAGGTAATCAGTATTTAAGCCACTAAATTTATGAGGAATTAGGAATGTATTAGGGCAGTAAAAGATGAGAGAAATGTGAAAGTATATGGAAATATGATTTACTTCACATATTTCTTCCTGAGAATGTAGAAGTTATTTTTTAATATCAAGACAATTTTTAAATGGAACAGAAAAATCTTATGGTGAATTATTTCATAAAATGTAGAATCCCTGGTAATATAAACAATTAATACCCTAATATATAACTTGCAAACATGAATTATTACAAAATGTTTTTATTTAAACAAGGCACAGGCCTATACATTTATCTGAAGTGCTGGGCAACTAGTGCTAAAAAAGTAAGTGAATTTTGTTAAAATTAAAGATAGCAATATGTTTTGTGATATAGTATTCCGAAATAACTTTCCTAAATAAAAATTAAACCTGAATGAATCAATAAGGCAGCAGAAAAATTTCATGAAGGGTCAGCAGGAATAAAAAAACCTCATTAGATTACAACTGAAAAATGTGTTTAAATAAATAAAGGCATTGTACATAAACTTAAATCCAGTGTAACATTATGGTAGAGTAATTTCAACAATTAAAAATTATAGTTATTTTGATTATTTTAATTCTGATATTCCAAACTATTTACTTTGCTTCGATTACAATTAACACTATGAATTATAGGTATAACCTACAACAAAGTAAATATAACAATGTATTAATAAAGTGTGGTAACTATAAAAACTTTGATCATGAATTAAAGGATAAACTTCATTATACTCAAAACATGATCAGCCCATAAAAGAAAATCTTCAAAACTCTCCCACTATGTCTGCCATGGTTACCTGATGTGAAAGGTGCCTGAATAAGTTGAAAGTAGACTTGTGTACAAAATCTTTCAATACTAGAATTTAGCATCACATGTGGACATCTGAAAGAGGTTAATTTAACAATGTAAAAGTATTTTACATAACATACTGATTACTGCATACATTACAAAGTTCTTTCAAAATGTGGTCTGGGCCTGGGGTGACTCAAATTGAAGTTTATGGTTCATGTGGGTCATAGCAGACCCTTAAAGGGAGCCACTGGGATTTTCTAGTTTTTCAGAGATTACTGTCATGAAAGACCATTAAGCCCACAAATAGGCCATTTGTCAGAAAAACACGAGGCTGGAGGCCCACTGGGTGTGCCCAACTGCAGACCCTTAGGGTAAAGCTGGTTAAAAATGGCAGAAGAGCACCCTCTAACAGGCAGCCATGGAACTGCCCCTCATAAGTTTTTGGTATTGAGGGACAATGTCTGCATTTATCCAAAAGCACTTTGCCAGTGCTTTTCATGCCCTACCCACTTTAAACATAGAGGAATGAGAATATTTAGGTAATATTTCTGGGAGAATTAAACTAGGATTTTATTACATGTATTTTTTATTTTTTGGGACTGGGGATTGAACCAAGGGCCACTTTACCACCGGGCTACATCCCCAGTCCTGTTTTAAAATTTGAGAAAGGGTCTCACTAAGTTGCTGAGGTTGGCCTCAAACTTCTGATCCTTCTGCCTCAGTCTCCTAAATCTCTGGAATTACAGATGTGTGCCACTGCACCTGACTTCAGATTTTTATCTAATTATAACTAGGATCATTTATGTGACCAATTTAACTTATTAAATAAAACTATATAACACAGTGTAAACACTAAACACAAGTATCACACAACAAGGTAAATAATAAATAAGTTAAAAATATATCTCTCATTTTAAAATAAATAGAACATAATAAACATTTTAGCAGTGGTTTCTGTCCACTTACCTCCCCACTGAGAAATTCTTTTAAGAGTTTTAAATATGAAAGACTACCCTATTTTAAAATCTTAGAAGACCATTGAATATTGAAAACATGAGTTAGTCTTGAACATTTTTGAGCAATTAATCTGATCAGTAAGTTTCTTTTAACCATTTTTTTTTTAAAATTGTTGGAACCTGTAGCTTTTAATCCAAAACGCTCTAAATCTTATTTTAGATTAATCCCCCTATCTGGTTCTCTTTTGATATAAAAAAAGATCCTTGGGTTGGGGGTGTAGCTCAGTGGTAGAGAGCTTGCTTAGAATCCGTGGGCACCTGGGTTCAATCCCTAGCATTGCAAACAAAAACAAAACAAAATGAAAAAATACTGAACTTTAGCTCAACATGGTCATGGACAGGATTAATATCAAACAATAAACAGTATCTAGAAGTCTAAAAATGACCAAACAATAAAAATTATAACACTTTAAGCAAATTTTGATCATTGTCTTTCTTTTACATTTCTCCTTTAAGGGTTTGAAAAAGCATGCTGCAGGAGACTGCCTAGCATTCACCATTCCAGTTTGACATGAACCATTTCCATTCAAAACAGCAAGCTATTTTTTTAAAACAATATGGTGTCACCACATTAAAAATTAAGATGGAAATGATCTTTCTACCCACATCCTGTCCATCAAATATTTTATTTAAGATTAAGGAATGAGAGTGCGTATTTCAGAGTAAGCTTCACTCTCAAAATATATAACCATGAAAAACATTTCATGTTCAAGTAATCTTTAGTGATTTTTCCAAAGTTAGTAACATGGTCAAAGTATGCTGAAAAGAGAATAGGCATTTTGTACTAACTGGAAGTTTGACTGTTTTGGGAATGCTATTTACATAAATGTGTACCCATTAAATACTGTATTTTTTTTTTTTTTTGCTGTGATGGGGATTGAACCCAGCGCCTCATGCATTAGGTTAATACTCTACCACTGAGCTAGATCCCAGCCCTTACATGTATATCCATTATACTATGAGTGAAATTAAGACTGAATAGCTGATAGAGAATTTCTGCTTTTGGATGAACATGTTATCTACTGGCTTGTGCAGATGCTATACTAAGTTTTCATTTTCTCATTTATCTACTCAGTTTCCTTTATGTCCTCTTGCTCTGAAGTACTAGAGATGTCATCGTCCGTCTGTTCTCCAGAGAAATACAGCATTGAAGCATGTGTCTTGTGAGTTATGGTGACAGTGCAGGGACCCTGGGCCCATGGCTCTCCATCTACCTGCATTGGCATCATCGAACACTTCAAAATCAGCTGATGTTAGGAAAAAAATAATTAGAAAAAAGTCAGTCCCAAGAAGTTCAGAAAGATCTTCCTTACTAATACCACCTATGGTCCCTTAATCCTTCTGCATCTCATTTCTAGAAAACTAAACTGAATATATGAAAATATTCATGGATTGTTTAGGGATTCATTTTCAGGAGATGCTTTATTTCTTTGACTGGATTAAGGGCCATGTTTCCTGTTTCTTTCCCACCCACTTGAGCCTCTGAAGTAGGGTTACCAACAGCATGGGCCATAAACCTGTTTAGATAAAACACCACCATGCATCCTTTCTTCAACAGATGAATGGTCTGAAAATAGAGTATTACAGCATATTTTACCTACCCGAACTGTATGTGCCTGTCCTATTCGAAAAGGGTTTGCGAGTTTCACTTGAATCTGAGCACAATGGAACGACCCATACACTCCTACGACTTCCAGTAAACCATCATCATGCCTAACAATGGAAGAAGGAAATATGGATCATATTATGCAATGAAATAAAATCAGCCAAGTAAGGGCAGTTATTTTTTAACACAAATGGGGCCATCAACCTATTAAATGTTTATATTACTGCGCATATAAACAAGAAAAGCTGAAAAAAATGTGAAAGTCTATAATAATAGGGTGTTTTAAAGAAAATGGTGACATAAAAGAGATTGTGAATACACATACCTGGCTAGTGGGTAAGTCTCATCTCCCATTCCTTCCCATAATCTGCAGCCACCACCCCAGTAGCCAATGTTCAGAACAATGATGCCTTCCAAATTAGGCAGCTGTACTTGCTCACCATCCAGTTCTAGCTTTAAAGAAATGTAAGCAGTTAGTTACCACAGGGCGCATGACTTCCACACATACCCAGCTGGAATCACACAGAAGACATGAGAGAAGCAGGTGTAGGAGAAGACTATTTCCCACCTCTCACTGGAGATGGTCTGGGCTTTCCCACCTCCTCAGTGAAACATTTTTAAATTTGAGAGGGTCTCACTAAATTGCCCAGGCTGGCCTAAAGCTTATAATCCCTCTGCCTCAGCCTCCAGAGTGGCCAGGATTATAGGTGTACAACACATCCAGTCAGTGGAATTGTGTTTAATTAAGACATTAATAATGTCCTTTTTGTTAAATTCCATCATTCTCTTCAGGCCTTGTCTAACTCACAGCTTACCTTTGACCTGACACTAATGAAGCCTCTTTTGCACCTGAAAACTCCTTTGCTCGCTGGGGACTTCTACCTCTGGCCAGGACGTTCCTCTTTGGTCAATCCTGAGAACTTCACATCCTGCCTCCTGTTGACGGCATTCCTCATGGCTCTGTACTAAGCCCCCTCTCTCCATGTTGCAGGCTTTGGGGGGCAGTCTTAGCCATCTCTGTGTTGACAGTTCTACTTTGCTGGCACAGTTAGCTGGCAAGTTGGGCCATATTCAAAGGCCCACAAAACACTTCTACTAACTGTGGTATTTATTTTTTTATTTTATTTTTTTTTGAATTTTTTTAATATTTATTTTTCAGTTTTCGGCGGACACAACATCTTTGTTTGTATGTGGTGCTGAGGATCGAACCCGGGCCACACGCATGCCAGGCGAGCGCGCAACCGCTTGAGCCACATCCCCAGCCCTGACTGTGGTATTTATTATGCATATACAAAACAGACAAAACCCTTCTCAGCAACCTGCTTCCCCTCACCAACCTATTTCATATGGAAGAGCAACACACCCCTCACCTTCCCCAAGCCAGAAACATGGGATTTATCTTGGCCCCCTATACCTTTCTCCTCCACATTCATCAATCTGAAAACAGGTGAGGCTACTTTTCTCTTTTTTTGGGGGTACCAGGAATTAAACCCAGGATTGCTTAACCACATTTTGTTTTTTGAGACAGTGTCTCACTAATTTGTTGAGGGCCTTGTTAAGTTCCTGAGGCTGGACTTGAACTTGTGTTCCTTCTGCTTCAGCCTCCCAAGCTGCTGGGATTACAGGTCATTGTGCCTGGCTGATACTACTTCTCTATCATTTGGGACAGTACCTTAGGGCAGAACCATCATCTCCTTCTTCTGCATGTTCTAACCGGTCTGTTTATTACTAGCTTTACTTCTCTCCTGTGCACTCCTCACAGAGCAACTGGATTGACACAATGCACCTAATCCCCATGTTATAACCCTTCAGTGGCTTGACTCTACGCTCATGACAAAATTCAAACTCCTTAATAGGCCAATACAAACCTCTGTGATTTGGTTTCTGTCCATCTTTAGCTTTTGCTACTATGCTTCTGTTTGAACACTACTATATCATGTTCTCTCTTCGGCCACGTTTGCATGGCTGAAAAGGCAAGGAGAACATACCATAGAACAATCTTCTCTACCTTCTTCACTTAGCTAATTCTTAATTTTTAGATTTCAGCTTGTTACTTTTTCTAGAATGACTTCATGTTATTGTCATTTTCCTTAGAGAAGTATCTGAAGTTCCTAACTCCTATAAGACCACCTGCTTTTTTATATCGCTTCTCATACTATGTTGCAATGTGATTTAAGTACCTTTTTTCTCTCTGGGCTGTAAACTTAGAGAAGGAATTTATCACTGCAACTCCAGTATTTAGGACAGTACCTTGCATTTTGCAGGTGGCTTCACAAACACCTTTGTATAAATTAAAACTCAGACAACAAAATAAAGTGCTATTTTATATGTGCTACCAATATTATCAAAGCCTAGAAAGAAGGAAATATAATAAAGTATTCCGAGACCTTTTTTTGGTACTGGGAAATGAATTCAGGGGCACTCAACCATTGAGCCACATCCCCAGCTCTATTTTGTGTTTTATTTAGACACAGGGTCAGTGTTGCTTAGGGCCTCGCTAAGTTGCTGAGGCTGGCTTTGAACTCACAATCCTGCTGCCTCAGCCTCCTGGGCAGCTGGGATGCCCAAGACCTTCTTTTTGGAGAACCTGACTATTCTGTGTGGTGTGGCTCCCACAGGCTCTTGAGTGTTTGCTAACAGCATGGCTTTCCTTGGCTAATGTAAATTTGGCTCCTTACTCTCTGCTCACTTTATTCTCTTTTTTTCTAATATGTTTATTATCTCTTCCCATCTTACTTATTCCCATACTTACTTTACTAGTTTTGGGTCTCTCCATTAGCATCTTTGTTGTTTTTATAACCATTAGATTATTGTTATTACTTTTTATGGACAGAATGCCTTTATTTATTTTTATGTGGTGCTAAGGATTGAACCCAGTGCCTCACATATGCTAGGCAAGCATTCTGCCACTGAGCTACAGCCTTAGCTCATAAGATTATTTTTAAAAGCAAGCAAGAAATACACATAAGGTTTTGCCATCTCATGTTATCAGGTATACTGTAACAATAATCAATAACTAGAATTCTACTTTTACTGTTTATACATTTTTGCTTTGGTGGTGGGAATTGAACCAAGGGTTCATGCATGCTAGGTGAGCCCTCTATTACTGAGCTACATCCCTAGTCCTTATCGTCACTCCTTTACCATCACTCCTTTTTTCTGTTTTTTTTTTTTTTTTTTTTTTTTTGGTACTGGGTGCTGTACCACTTAGCTATCTCTCTAGATCTTTTTATTTTGAGATAAGGTCTAGTTCTCCATTCTGGCCTCAAATTTGCAATTCTCCTATCTCAGCCTCCTGAGTAGCTGGGATTACAGGAATGTGCCACCATGTACAGTATTATTTTGTTTAGGTATATAAGAGAGATATCGCACCAAAACAGTCTGAATTGAACTTTGCATTTAAATGTCTTCTGAGCATTTATGATAAATCAGGCACTCACTGTAGTAGACAACTTAAAGTGCAAATCATTAGAACATATCAGTTAAACAGATTTGGGTGTTAGATAAACCTGGGTTCAAACCTGACTACCCATGCCTGTGAAACCAACTGTGTGAATATGGGCAAATTACTTAAATTTAGTTTTCTCTTCTGTGTAATAGCAATATACTACTACTTGCCTTATAGATTATGGGAACTGTTTAGAGGGATAATGTGTTCAAAGCACTCAGCAAAGTGCTTGGCATACAAATAAATATCCCACATATGTTAGCAAAGTAACTTAAAAGAATCATCATCACTTCTGTTAAAAAACCTTCATAATCCTGAAAACATCTAAAACTTTGTGGAAGGTATTTGTGGCTTACCTCAATTTTTTTATTCAAATCTTTACATTCTTGCACTAAACAATCTTTGGTTCCATAGAATAAATAAACAGCCTATGAAAAATGAACAAAAATATGACATTAAAACAAATCTCACAAACCCTATTAAATGTTAAGAAAAAGACACTGTACAAAGTTCCCCATTCTGCCTTGAACAGCATTTCCTTGGAGTGGAATGAACACTGATGGACAGAAGGGCACTCCAAGGGATGCTCTGGTATATGATTCTCTATTTATTTATTTTTAGTTTTAGGTGGACACAGTATCTTCATTTTATTTGTATGTGGTGCTGAGGATCGAACCCAGTGCCTCACGCATGCTAGGCGAGCGCCCTACCCCTGAGCCATAACCACAGCCCCGTATGTGATTCTCTTTTAGCAGCCTTTTCATTTTACATTTCATTCTATTATGCTACTACTCTTGGCTTAAAGAGTACTACGTGAGCACATGCCTTTAGTCCCAGAGACTTGGGAGGCTGAGGCAGGAGGATTCTCCTGTTCAAAGTCAGCCTCTGCAACTTAGCAAGGTCCTAAACAACTCAGTGAGACTCTGTCTCCAAAAAAAAAAAAAGTAAAAAAGGGGTGGGGATGTGGCTAAGTGGTAGAGTGCGCCGGGTTCAATTCCTGGTACAAAAAAGAAATAAGATCAGTAGCCCCAGTTTAGGATGAGTCCATGGTCTCTCTTCCTAGGTATGCTGCTCATTCTTCAGGAGACTCAAGTCTGGCCCTTGCACCTGAGCTTCTTTGGAAACTTTCCCACCTTTCTCTTTCCTAAACAATTCTGACGTTATGCTGATATCACATTATACTGCCATTTAAAAAATTTGTTCCCGTGAGCATTATCTCCCCAGTTGGACTGTACACTCAGGGCAAGATTCCAATTATACAATATTTATTAAATTATACATTTTCTGAAAATGAAAACAAGAGTTGAACTGTAGTAGAACAGAGGAAATGTTAATCATCCCTCTTTTGGGTGACAATAAAGGCCATACTTTTTTTTTTGGTGGTAATGGGGATTGAACCCAGAGTACTACACCACTGAGCTATAGCCCAGCCCTTTTAGTGTTTTAATTTTGAGGCAGGGTCTTGCTAAAGTTGCCCAGATCTTGAACTTGTGATCCTCCTGTCTCAGCCTCCAGAGTAGCTGGGATTATAGGCTATTAGTTTAAAGTTTAGTCTGTTTTTCAGAAGGAATAGGGGTGGTGTATGTTTAAATGATGTTTTTCTGCTGATTACTCCAATTACTTAAGGAAAATGCAGATAAATTAAGCAAATATTTAATGATTCATTTTGAATATAAATATTGAATACAAGGTTGACAGAAGTACAGAAAAGTTAATTATCAGTTATATAAACAGCAATATTTATTGCTTTAGTAACTATAATAAAAGAGAATGAAATAAAATTTGAAATATTTGTAAAATAGGCCCAGGAATAGAATTATTTATTTTGCTTTAATTTAATTTTTTTGTACTGAGAATTGAACCCAGGGTTGCTCAACTACTAAGCCACATCCCTAGCCCTTTTAAATATTTTATTTAGAGACAGGGTCTTGCTGAGTTGCTAAGTGCCTCATTAAGTTGCTGATGCTGGCTTTGAACTCACATCCACCTGCCTCAGGCTCCCAAGCCACTGGGATTACAGGCATGCACCACCATGCCTTGCCAGCCTTTTTTTTTTTTTGAGACAAGGTCTTGCTAAGTTGCTGAGGCTGGCCTTGAACTTGGGTTTCTCTGCCTCCGACTCCTGAGTTGCTGAGATTACAGATGTGCGCTAACATGCCTGGTTGTATTTATTTTTCACATTCTTTTGTTCTATCATTAAAGTCATTTAAAAAAAATTCTGAGCCCAGCACAGTGGTGCACTCCTATAATCCAGTGGCTCAGGAGGCTGATGCAGGAGGATCATGAGTTCAAAGCCAGCCTCACCAAAAGCGAAGTGCTAAACAACTCAGTGAGACCATGTCTCTAAATAAAATACAAAATAGAGCTGGGGATGTGGCTTAGTGGTTGAGTGCCCCTGAGTTCAATTCCTAGTACCAAAACAAACAAACAAAATCCAAAACAAAGCTTCCATTAAAGGAACTGACTGTGCCCAAAACCAGAGCGATGACCTTAGCAAGAGTCATAGTAAACAAGTGCTCTTTTCCTTACCTCATCTGTCTTATGGATATAAGCCAATGGTTTATATTTTTTCATTAATGACTTAACTAAAATTTTACTCTGACTAACTGCCTTTCCAATTTCAGTTGCCATTTATATAAGTTATCATATATTTACTTTTCACCTAAACAAAATATGTTGAAAAACATTCCAACATTGAATTTTCAAAAATCTGCACTTGCCTAGCATGTGTGAGGCACTGGGTTCGATTCTCAGCACTGCATATAAATAAATAAATAAATAAATAAATAAATGTCCATTGATATCTAAAAATAAAATAAAATAAAAATGTGTTCCAGTTAATAAAATACATTTAAGAATCTAATTCGAGGGCTGGGGTTATGGCTCAGTGGTAGAGCACTTGCCTAGCACATGTGGGGCGCTGGGTTCAATCCTCAGCATCACATAAAAATAATAAAATAAAGGTATTATATCCAACTACAACTAAAAAAATATTAAAAAAAAGAATCTAACTTGACAGTCCTACACAACAGAGCAGGTAAATGTTTCTATAAGTTAGTTCAACTAGAATCTAAGAGATCTAAGAGTACTAAATATAATTGAACTATTGATTTTTACTGTACCTTCAGTGATAAGCAGGAAATGTTATTTTATCCAACACACCTTATTAAGAATTCTGCTAGAAAACAGAGATGGTGCCTTCTCACGATGAGCATGAAAATTGAGAGCCATGAGAGCATCAGGTCCAATAGAAAAATAGTTGTTCATTGTGAATTCCTGTGAGAAAGAGTAAGGATAAGCAATAGACTGTGCTCTCTGCAAGCCGGTGTCACACTTCAATATGTAAATCTTAGTCTTTTGGTCCTTTTTGAAAATCAAGTACTTTTAAAATTTTTCACACAGAGCTACTTTATACTCTCTGGTGAAGTTACTAGAAACAAACTTTAGTTCTAGGCTGGTAACTATGAATATGAATCTGACTTTCCATTTCTATTTACTATGCCACACTCATACCCCAGCATCTAGAAAGGCTCTCCTCTGTGCACCGAGGGTTTCACTTTGACAGTCCCAATGCATTTGCTTCAAACCTTCTTTGCAACTCTCAGTTTCTATCAGTCTCAATCCAGGCTATAGTTAGTTAGTTTATCTTATTTCCCGACCTAGCCTGGACGCCCCAATCTATATGTCTAGCTCTGTTCTTATTCCTGAGTTAACAAGCTCAAACTTCCAACTTATAGCTATTTGAGTTGCTATTCCCCAAATGTAACTATTTTCTTCCTACCTAAGCCTGAAACTTCCTGTTTTTCTTATCTTGGTTAATGCCGTTTCCATATATCCAATAATAAAAATCAGAACTCTAGTAGTAATATGCGTTTTCTCTCTCTCTTCTTATATCAATAAATTGCCAAGGCTTGATCAATTCCAGCTTTAAAATGTCTTTGAATTGTCCTCATTCTAAGATTCTCCTTGTTAATGCTCTCATGCGGCTTCTAACTTATTTTCACACTATCTCCAGAATATTTTTTTGAAATACAGATTTGGGTTGGGGCTGTAGCTCAGTGGGAGAGTGCTTGCCTAGCATGAGCAAGGTCCTGGGTATGATCACCAGCACTGCAAATAAAAACAAAACACAGATCCATTATCTCTGTACTATTTGCTGTTTGCTAACCACGCCTCATACTATTTAACTATTCCTTCTGTGGAAAGCCCTTTGTTCCTTTCTCTGTTGATCTAAACTGTATTAATCTTTTAAGGACCAGCTCCCACATCACTTCCTCTGTAATTTCCTCAGCCTTATCTGCCAAGGCAGAAGGAGGTATGCCTGCACCTTGTTCTTCCCCACAGCACCTTTTACAGAAGCTAGTGAGGTGGGCACATGATCTCTTCTGTTCCATTACCAGCTCCCTCCAGATAAGCACCAGGCCTCTGCATCCTACTAGATAGTGCTGCAACTTATGCACTGTGGACATTCCATGTCTGTTTGCTAAAACTATTCATAACAGAAGCACTAAAAACATACCTTAGGCTTCCTTAAGTTGTAGTATCCTTTATTTGTTATCTGAACTTTCCATCTGGAAGATAGTAAAAAAAAAAAAAAAAAAAAAATCAGAACTTTTAAACCAAAAACAGTACTCTGGATGGAGGTTTTTCTATTAAAATAACATTAGAGAAAGTAACCACATCTGAGAAAGAATGCAAATTTTGAGAAAGTACTCAGCATACTTTGCCTTTGGACCTTACAAAATAACAAAGACAGACATCAGCATCTACTTATAAGTAAAATTAATATAATCTTTTACATTCAAATTACATTTAAGTTCACAGCTACACAAGTCTTCATTTACAAACCAAATACTATTCCCAATGCTCAAGAAATACACTTTTTGGCAAAGTGTAACTTACCGATCTAGTTTGATTCCATCTGCTTCCATTACATTTCTTAGGACCTGTGTAACTGGTATTTCTCCAGCGTAACCTGTACCCCAACCCAGTGTATTGGACAGATCGTTGCCTGTTCCTAGAGGCAAGACTGCAACTTGTGGAATGTATTTTTCTTGTCCCTAGAACATGGAAGACATACTTCAGATTTTCTCTTTAAATAATGTATAAGATAATATTTTGTAAAACTTGAAAACCAAAGCAATAAAGACACAAATATAACAATTCTAGGTTGTACTAACTACTTTATCACAATATCCCATCCTTATCCATTTGAATTGATGATGTCTTCTAATATTTACCTTCATAATTAAAACAATACTGTATAATTAATCTTAGAAATGCTTCTGTAGTAGTGGTTTGTTTTTTCTTTTTCTTTTTGTTTTGTTTTGGTGCTGGGGATGGAACCAAGGTCCTTGTACATATTAGACAAGTGCTCCACCACTGAGCTACATCCCCGTTACAGCGGTTCTTAAAGACAAATACCTTAATCTTCATTTCATCAACTGCATCCAGGACCCAGCCCACAGTCCCATCTCCTCCACAAACAAGTACTCGAGCTGAATAATAAGGAAGAAGAGTACAAAGTTGTAGGGCTTTGAAAGGAGGAGTTTTCGTTACATCAAAAACCTAGAAATGAAAGAACAAGAAAAAAATTATTTTTATACAAATTGTCCTTCATCTGAGAGATTATTTCCCTGTAGATGAGTAGGCATACGGTTAACTAATACTGGCCACTGTGTATTTATCATTAATAACATGTCAGGTACCATGCCAGGCACTTTATATATTCACTGAGGCTTATGCCCCACACTGACAAAGTAGGAGTTCTTCTTATTCTATTGGCCAGGAAACTGAGGCACGCAGGAAGGTTAAATCATTTGCTTGTGTAAATAAATGAATGCTTGAGTCCATTTATGATATCATATTGCCTAGTTTCCATTCTAAAATTTTAAAAATGAAGTTATAATTTACATATCATAAAATTCACCTGAAGTAAACAAGTCTACCATTTTTATTCAGTTTATCAAGTTGTGAAACTGCCACTATAATCCAATTTAGAACATTTCTATTGCTTTAATAAGACTCTTCAATGGCCCTTTGCGGTCTCTCCTCCTTTCCAACCTTAGCCTCAGGCCACCAACAATCTACTCTGTCACTATTGATTTGCCTTTTCTGGACAGGTCACATATATGAATTGTATAATATGTGTTTGCCTGAGCCTGGCTTCTTGCACTTAGCATAATGTTTTTGAAGCTTATTTACTGTAATAGATAACTTATTCCTTTGTATCACTGAACAGTATTCCATTTTATTTGAGGGCACAGGTTTTGTGAATCCACTCACCGACTGATTGACAGTTGAACTGTTTCCATTTAATGTGCGATGAATATTTGCATACAAGTTTTTGGGGAACATGTTTTCATTTCCCTTAGGTAGATTAACGGAAGTAGGATTGCTAGGTAATATCGTTTCTGTTTTTCCACACATCTGAATGGCTTGATAGTTTTATAATTATCATTCTTTCCTGTTACTACATGATTAGTGACTTAAAGAATTAGTAAATGCTGAATTCAAGGGAATTGAAAATGCAAAGATTAATAAAGAAAGGAAGGTGATCTGTTTAATTACCTGGACTGGATTTAACAGGATCCTAAATTCTCCCAACAGTCCTTCTCCCATGTTAGTTCCACTGCGGGAGTTGGCCAGGATTATTACTGGGGTCCACTGTTTTCCAAACTTGGAGGCTAGCTAAAAATATTAAAATGAGTAAAAAAAGTCTCAGAGATGACAAACACAACATTTTTCATTCATTGATAACAATGGTGCTGGAATTTGCTGAAAAAACAATGATACCAGTACTATCAATGTAATATGAAAGTCAAATAGTTCTAAGAATAAAAGAAGACCTTAAGAGATTAACCTTCCAACTTAATGTACAATTTTCCTCTATGTTACTTTAAGTAAGTCCTCCAGCATATGCTCAGATATGTTAGGAAGGAAATAACAAGGCAGTCCATGCCACTGTTAAAATAGTATCAAGTTCTGGGTTAAACTGAGGTGAAAGTCTAAAGTCTTTCAATAACTTGCATTCATTGTTCTAATTTTGCTTCTAAAGCAACTGGAAATTACTTATTCTTCCACATAACGGCTGTGTTTAAACATCTGAAGCAATGTACAGGTTAAATATTCCTTTTCTGAAATTCCTGGAATCAGAATATTTTCTGATTCTGGAATATCTGCATATACATAATGGGATAAGGTCCAAGTCTAAATATGAAATTCTTGTTTCCCAGATACCTTCTATAGACAGCAGAAAGGTAATTTTACACAATGTTTTTAATGTGCCTACATTCTGACCACAACCCATCAAGTTTAGAATCTTCTATTTGTGGTGTCATGTCAGCAGTCAGAAAATTTTGTATTTTGCATTTTTTGATTAGGGATGCTGTACCTGTAACATGAGTTTGTCTCTCAGCAATACATTTCAAGTCCTTTCAACCATTCATCTAACGGATATTGATATGGATTTTTCTTTGATCTCTTTTCTTGCTTAATTTTCCTTTGCTGGTTATATTCTAGTTGAAAGTTTTTTTTTTGTTTTTTTTTAAATGGGGTACTCAAAAGTGGATTCAAAAATTCATACTTGTAATAGCCAAAAGCCAAATAAATTTGTATAATCTAACCATTTCTTCTCTTACCCTCTCTTTATAGATTTCAACATTAATAAAGTCATTCTGTGGTATTAACTGAGTGATTCTCATACCTCTTATAATTTCAGATTAAATTCAGATAAGGGGCTGTACATTTTTTAAAAAGTGTATCTTAACAATATTAAGGTTTAAAAATTTTAAAGTGTACTTTTCCTTGCAGGAATATTGACAACAATGACTTTTAAGATATAAATACTTAATTTGAAAAAGTACCATTTAATTGTAAAGCAAAACAGTTCAATTATTTTGGCATATTCAAGTAGGGGAATATATATACATAAATTTTTATAATTATTCTTTAAGAGGTACATAAAGATTGAGAGATATTTTTACATTGATTTTCACACACACACACACACACACACACTGCAAATCCTTCACCAACAACTTCAATGTCTGGTATTATTTGTTGGAGCATCCAATGTGCAATATAAACTTTTTTTTAGAGACCTCATGTAGAATTCCACATGGAAAATTCTTTTAGAACAAGGTGTGAGGAAAATCCATATTTTCTTTTCACTGCAATAATGAATTTCGAATTTGGCTGTTCATCAGAATTATGTGAGGACCTTAAAAAAATATGGATTTCTGGGCTCTACTCTAGATCTATTAAATCAAACATGACAATGAAACTGGACTAAGGAATTATTTTTTAGGGGTAATGGGGATTGGACCTAAGAGCACTTTACCATCAAGTACATCCCCATTTGTTCTTACATTTTAACAGGATCTTGTTAAATTGCTTAGGGCCTTGCTAAGTTGCTGAAACTGGACTTGAAGTTCTGATCCTCCTGCCTCAGCCTCCTGAGTCACTGGGATTATAGGCATGTGTCACCATGCCTGGCTTTAGGAATCTATTTTTAAAAAGCTAGGTTCAAATGCAGGCAGTGATTTAGAAATCACTAGTACATTTTTGATCTCCCTCTAGGCATGAAAGAACTCAAGAGCCAAAATTTTATCACACCTCTAGGAATTGGTAGGGTTTTATAGCTTACCATAAAGGTATTTATTTTACATCCCTTCTTGGTCTTGACCTTTTATTTTTTTTCCCCCCACATTTTTTAATTGGTGCATTATATTTGTACCTAATGATGGGATTTATTGCCACATATCTGTACATATATAATAATTTGGCTAATCTTTTATTTATTTTATTTCTGGCTCTGATTCTTCTCACAAATGCAGAATTAACAATCTCATACACTACCTTAACTTTATAGAAATAATAATATAAGAAAAATAATCTCTAATTACCACTTCATAATCTGTTTTTTTGTCTTTTCGCATCTGGTTAATGTAAGTTAAATAACTTGGTGGAATGATGATATTTCTGAATTCTCCAAAATCACACTTTTCATTCTTTAAGCTATTTTTCATGCACTCATCATGTACTGTTTTCTGACACCAAATACACCTGAGGGAAGGAAGAAACAAAGACATTAATTAATTTTAAACTATAATCTTATTGAGCTGCAAACCAATTTTTTGGTCAAAAATGTAAATAATAATTTCATCATTATTGGATATAAAATCTGGCACATGTAAGATATGTATCTATGCCTGCATTGTGAAAATAGTTACAAGTTTTGAATGTTACAAGGTTTGAATGAAAATATAACAATGGTTCTCAAACATCTTGAGCCCCAAGATCCTTTCAGGGCATCTGTGAGATTAAAACCATTTTAATAATAATACTAGGAAATTATTTCATCCTCATTCTCTCAAAAATGTAGTTTTTTTTTCCCAGAAGATGTATGATGTGCTATAACAATAGACTGAATGTAAACATTTTCATAAAAATATGTTATTATTTTTAAAAATATGTATTTTAGTGATTTCTTTCTTTTTAAATACGTTTTATTTTATTCTATTCATTTATTTTCATGTGGTGCTGAGGATCAAACCCAGGGCCTCACAAGTACTAGGCAAATGCTCTACACAACCCCAGCCCAGTGATTTTTTAATTCTGATTTATAACATGGTAAATATCAATAGCTATAAGCCACGTTAACAAAAGCCATCTAGAACAGCAACTGTTATGTGTTAGTTATTTGTGCTTTAACTGAAATATGTTCATGAGGTCTGCAGGCTTTGCTGCCTAGATGTGCCACTGCCGAGCCCTAAAGACATTCTCAGGTCTAAACTGAAAATTTCAACTTATAAATGTAAGTAAAACGGTCAACTGCTTTTTGGGCAGCTCATAAACAAGTTATGTTTGCTTTTGAAATACAGATAAAACAAGTATATTTAGATTTGCCTCTGTGTTCAGTACCAATGTATACAACAGGCAGGGAACAGTGCTGGCAAGGTCTGGGGTTTCTATTTTTAATCTGCTAAGTATTTAATCCACTCACAGATAAAGTAGATTGGACTGTACAAAGTAGGCCACCAGAAAAAAAATGGTTTTAGTTAAATGAATAAAAAAAAAAAGAGGGTAAACATTTTTCCTCCATATATTAATTCTCTTGGTCTTCTATTTTAAGGGTGTTTTTTCCTTTCAGATGTTCAGATTTGTCCAATAACTGCTATTTACCCAAGAGTCCTGTTTTGATTTACTGCTAAAAATAATTATATGCATATATGTAAAACTATAATAGATGATTTCACAACTAAAGTATAATACATCTCTCTACTGGTTACCATCAACTTAAAAATAGTAATATTATATATATATTTTCCCAAACCAACACCAATACACTTATTTGTGGGAGACAGGGTCAAATTTTACCAAGAACTTTTAAATTGGGTAGGACTAGAGACAATGATCTACTTAACTTGTGGGAATTCATAACTGCACAGGTAACCAGATCCTGCCTGTGAGGATTACACAGAAAGCATTCAGAGGAGAGGATACATTTTGAGGAGTCACATGGCTTCCCATTTAGAAAACTAGTGCTGGAGGAAAACGAAGGCAGATCCCTGCTTTAGCCTCTTCCCATGGGCTATAGATGATTGTGGCCTTGGAAAAGGGGATCATGCTCTAAAAACAGGGTAGTGTTATTGAAAGAAATTAGAAAGGTTGTAAATATGTCAAATTTTCATCTACATGAATGTTTTGTTATACATTAATTTGAAAGGATGCCCACAGAATTACTTCACAATACTAGCTTATGCTTGAGAATTGAAATATTTAGAAAGGTATAAAATGAAGATTATCGGTGGGGAGGGGAGGGGAGGGGGGATAGTAGAGGACAGGAAAGGTAGCAGAATACAACAGACACTAGTATGGCAATATGTAAATCAATGGATGTGTAATTGATGTGATTCTTCAATCTGTATATGGGCTAAAAATGGGAGTTCATAACCCACTTGAAGCAAAGTGTGAAAGATGATATATCAAGAACTATGTAATGTTTTGAACAACCAACAATAAAAAAAAAAAATTTGAAAAAAAAAAAATGAAGATTATCTACCAACATTCTTAATTCCTTTGATATGCTTATTTTCAGTTATTATAATACATACAAATTTCAGTTATTATAATATAGTTAGGAATATGATATCTATATTGATCTATAATAGATACTACTTTTTTTTCTGTTACTATTATTATTATTTTTGTGGTGCTGGCTGGGGATTGAACCAAGGACCTTGTGCATATGAGGCAAGCATACTACCAACTGAGCTATATCCCCAGCCCCTGCTTTTCTTCTGTTATAGCATGAATAATTTTATATGCTATTAAATATTTACTTAAAACATGGTTTATAATACATCATGTGGATATAACAATTTATCTAGCCCCTTACCTGTTTTTTTTTAAAAACATTACTTTGTTCTTGTAAATATAAGCAATGTGTTGAACAACCTCAAACATAAAAGAGGTAATTTCCTTACAATCTGAGAAGTTTCTGAATCAAAGGGCATACATTTTCCTAAGATTCTATTTAAAGGTCCCTGGTCACTAGGTCAAACTGAACTGTCTTTTGCTTTGTGAATTCATTTATGTCCTATATTCATCTTTCAGGAGGTTTTAAAAACTGCAAACACATGTGTTTACCAATCTCTTTTGTATATTAATTGAAAAGATGCTTCAGTATTATCTCTCTGTGGCACTCAGGATTAAACTCAGGGGTGCTCTACCACTGAACCACATTCCCAGCTCCTTTTTAAAATTTTGAGACAGGGTCTTGATAAATTTAAATTGCCCAGACTGGGCTCAAATTTGTAATCTTACTGCCTCAGCCTCCCAAATTGTTGGGATTAAGGTATGTGCCACTGGGCCAGGCTAGTTTCCTTTTAAATGTACTTTTTAAAGTATTTCAGTTTATGTTTTGATGTACAGATCTGTACTTCTCTTTGTAGTTTATTCACATACTTTTATGCTTAAAGTCTTTTATCATTTCCAAATTATATATTCATCTGTAGCTATTTTCTCCCCAAAGAGCACTTGTCCTAGCACAATTCATAATATTTTTGATTCCCACTGATTTATGACACATTTATCATTCACTAAATTCTAATTAATTTCAGAAGAGGTTCTTTTTGTTGTTGTTATTGAAGTGCTGAGGACTGAACCTAGGGACTGACAGTTGCTGCTAGGCAAGCGCTCTGCCACTGAACTACATCCCCAACCCAAAAATAATTCAACAAAATAACTGTTATTAGCTTTTGCTCTGTAAAGATAAAACCAAAATGCTTACTAGTTATTCAGTATTATACTTTTTCCTTAGAAACAACATCTTCAAACTTGAGATCTGTTCTTTTACTCACCTTGTACCTTAGTATTTAGCTTAGCCTAGATTTCAAAGCCAATGGAAAAATAAAAAATTGGGGCTAGATCTGTGGCTCAGCGGTGGAGCGCTTGCCTCGCACGTGCAAGGCCCGGGATTCAATCCTAGCACCACATAAAAATAAATAAACAAAATAAAGGTACTGTGTCCATCTACAATTAAAAAAGATATTAAAAAAATAAAAAATTAATACTATTCTGATATTTTAGTTTAAGTACCATGTCACTGGGTAACTGCTTATGAGTTTTATTTGTTCCTATTTTTACTTTGAAATTTTCAAACTTTCAGAGAAATCAAAAGGGTAGCAAAATGAATACCCTTAAACTCACCCTTCACTCTGATCCCCCTGCTTCTGGAATGTTAGGCAAGTGCTCTGCTACCAAGCTACACCCCTCAAATCCTGATTACTTTTTTTGGTGGTGGTGGGGGGTACTGGGGATTAAACGCAGGAGCACTCAAACACTGAGCCACACCCCCAATCCTATTTTGTATTTTATTTAGAGACAGGGTCTCACTGAGTTGCTTAGGGCCTCGCCATTGCTGAGGCTGGCTTTGAACTCTGGATGTCCTGTGTCAGCCTTCCGAGCTGCTGGGATTATAAGTGTATGCCACAGCACTGGGCCCTGATTTTTATATGACAGTGGAATGCATTACAATTCTTATTATAAATATAGAGCACAATTTTTCATCTCTCTGTTTGTATACAAAGTATATTCACACCAATTCATGTCTTCATACATGTGCTTTGGGTAATAATGACCATCACATTCCACCATCATTTCTAACCCCATGTCCCCTCCCTTCCTCTCCAACCCCTCTGCCCTATCTAGAGTTGTCTATTCCTCCGATGCTCCCTCTCTATACCCCACTATGAAGTAGCCTCCTTGATTCTTAATTAATATTTTCTCCCATGACTTGCTTTCTTTCAATATAAACGTATACATTGCTGAATCATCTGGAAATACATTTCAGATATTGAGATTTCACCCTTCAAAATTTCAGCAAATATTTCCTAAAAACAAGGATAACCTTGTTTTTAAAATGTTTTGCTTTTTTAGCACCTGCCTAGCATGTATAAGATCCTGGGTTCAATCCTCAGCACTGTAAAAAGTAAAAAAAAAAAGGTAAAATAATTTGCTTTTTAATTTTACACTAAAAACTGGTATCCCTATGACCTAGCATTCAAGCATTAAACATTTTACAACACACTTCCATATCCATTAATTCATCTTATTTTTGGTACATTTTCAAATAAATGGCAGATATAAAAATACTAAATAACTCAGCCAGTAGGTTTATCATTTTCTAGAGTTCATTATTTGTTTATAGGTTTTTCTTGTGATGTAAAATTTATATACAATGAAATGTACAAATATATACATTTATTGAAATTTGAGAAATGAATGCCTTCATACTGAAGTCCTTATCAAGATACAGAACATCATCTACACTATTCCCTCATAGGAAAACATGGAATGCTTTGCAGATTTACCTTATTTTTGCTCAGGAGTATAACTGCTTTACTTTTGTTAAATCAAATTATTTTAGAGACACAGTCTTGTTATATTGCCCAAGATGACCTCTTTTTTTTGGTGGTACTAGGGATTGAAACTCAGGGTTACTCTACCACTGAGCTATATTCCCACCACTTTTTAAACTTTTTACTTTGAGACAGTCTTGCTAAGTTACCAAGGCTGATTTCAAACTTGTAATCCTCTAGCCTCAGCCTTCTAAGTAGCTCAGCCTCCCAAGTAGCTGAAATTTCTGCTATGGCACTCCTGGGATCATGCCATCCTCGTGCCTCAACCTCCTGAGGGTCTGGGACTATAGTCACACATCACGATGCTTTTATGTTTTAAAAGTTTAGCAACGAAAAATTCTGCTGGCAAAATCGCTTATTACTTTCTTTTAAAATAGTTACTTGTTCCCAATAGCTTTTTAGTATGCTGGAGGAGGCAGCTGTATTATACTTGTTGTGATGGTCAATTATGGGATTCATACCAGAATGGGTTTGGTAAACTATGTCTGCCACCTGACCTTGTGGACAAAGTTTTATTGGAAAACAACTATACCTATTAATTTATATATGGTCCATTGCTGGTTTTGTACTAGGCAGAGTTAAGTAATTACGACAGACCAAATGCTTCCCAAAGCCTAAAATGTTTACTTTTGGCTCTTTATGTATCATAATATAAGAATATTCATTTGCTTTGCTTTGGCAGTACTGGTGATTGAACCCCAGGGTGCTCTACCACTGAGCTATTTTCTGGTCCTTTTTATTTTTTATTTTGAGACAAGAGATTCCCAAATTGCCAGGGCTGTATTTGAACTTGTAATCCTCCTGCTTCAGCCTCCCAAGTTGCTAAGATTACAGGTGTGCTCCAACGCATTGAGCTTTACCTCTGACTTAGAAGATGGCTTAGTATCTTTTATTGTTTCAGATAATTAATGAAATATGACATATACCAATAGAATACAGAAATATAAAATTTAAGATCAAAGCTGAGACTAAAGTGGCTTTGTTTTACTAATTATAGTATGTGGGGAGAGAAGAGGGAGAATAATGAAGAAAAAGCCTTCTTACAAACAAACAAACAAACAAAAAAACAGGGCTGGGGTTGTGGCTCAGTAGTTGAGCACTTGCCTAGCATGTGTGAGGCCCTGGGTTCCATTCTCAGCACCACATAAAGGTAAATAAATAAAGGTATTGTGTCCATCTACAACTAAAAAATATTAAAACAAACAACAAACAAACTTAAGTTCCTTTTCTCTTACTAAGAGAATATTACAGGGAACAAAGGTTTAGTTAGTAAATAGAACAAACACTTAAATATAACCTAATTCCCTACTGTAGTCAGAATCGAGAAGAACAAAAGGAAGGACAGAGAAGTACTGATTCAGATATGAGGTACAGAATTCACTGTAGTGGTTGGGGTAGAGGCAGACACACACAAAACGAAAAAAGTCTATAGGGAAAACAGACTCTAGCACAATATGTTGCACAAAATAGATGACAAATAAGTAAGTATAAAGACCTATTTTGCAGAGTTTAATAGGGCTGCAGGTTTAAAATCAGTCACTACCTGTTATTACCCCCTTTCAAATGATCAGTCTCAGCTCACCAGCTTCTCTAAGAATGTGAAGCAGAAAGGAAAGGAGCCCTCCCCATGGCTGGATAAAATCCAGAGAGGGACTGTTTTGTGATCATATGTTGTAAATAATGATGTTTTCTTTCTCCTTCCAAAATCTCATTTCTACAGAAGATCACAGTAGACTATAATCCTGAATAAAATTATTGGCTAAAATAAATCAGTTTAGAATATTGTAGAATCCATACAACTTGAGGATACTGCTTTTTACTTTTCGGAATAATAAATATTTCCTAAATTTATATAGAGACCATAGCAGGCTGTGAACAGACTGCTCAGTAACCCTAGGAATAAGCTAATCAGAAGGAGATCTATCATTACAAACTTTCACTGCACTCATTGGGAGGACACATATTAAGGAATGAGACTCAGGTTTTAAGAGATACAAAAACATGGCAGTGATTCTCCAATTTCAGAGTTATCTGCTATTCAAACAAAGACTGCCAGGTTTCTGGTTTAGTGGGTCTGGGGTGGGGCTAGGGTTGCCAGATACAAAACAGAAGATGCCCCGGTAAATGAGAATTTCAGATAAACTACCATTTTTTTTTGGGGGGGGGGGTATAATTCCCAAATGTTACATTTTTACTTGTCAAATCTGGCAAACTAGAATTTACATTTTTAAATAGATTTTGAAGTGATAATGATCCTGCTGGTTTGGGGATGTTACTTGAGAACCCTGAGATAAAGGATATGTCATCATCAAGAAGGAAAAATTTGGGGAAGCAGAAGTTGAATAAATCAGGAAAGGGTTTGTAGAGGCAAAAACAGGAGATTTAATTTGCGCACAGAGAATGGAAGGAAACAACAAAAGTCAATTCACTGTGACATTTATTTTAAGTCACTGGTAACTTTGCACTCACTGATTAAGGACAAAAGACAGGATAGACAGAACAACATCTAAATTCTAAAGATACTAAAAACAAACAAATAGTTAAAAATTCTAAAGTTGTCTAAAATATATTATTTTGAAAACTTATTAAATCTAAATCTGATAATGTGTAAAATTATTTAGGGTAAGATTTAAAAACCAGTATTGACATACCAGTGCTCATGCCAAAAAACAAAACAAAAACAGAGAGCTTGTTCTACAAAAAATAAAAAAGTGGCTTATCCTATTTAGTCCCAGCTTTCTACTACAGCTTGTAAGTATGTTCATAAGCTTTTATACTTATCAGAAACAAACCCCATTACAATGAAGATGTCCAGACTTATGGAAGGCTTGGTATCAGCATTCCTAATCCTGTTCTGGGGGTAAGAATTCCTTTGTAAGTCAGTCCCATTTTACCTTTAATTTCCTCAACTGTGAAATGAGTTAGAACAGATGACCTGCAAGACATCATTCCATTCTACCAATCTCTAACAAGAGGAGGTATATCTTCATCTATTTCAGACACTACTTAACCACATAAATGTGTTGTCCATGGTGTATGCAGAAGCCACTGAAATATTCTTGGTTTAATCAAAGTCGTGTATCTAAGATACTACACAGTCTTGCAAGACCATCTTGAAACTCAAGAGGAGTTTTCATTTCAGTGTTGTTTTTTTTTTTTTTTTTTTTTTAAAAATGTGTTTCACTATGGCACCCATAGCAAAATACAGTTAAAGTGCTGCCCTGGAATTACACTTCTTTTTACAATACAAAGCCAAGGATGAATCAGTTTTGTGATTGAAAGGAAAATTTATTTGGCCATATTTCATTTTTTCTTATGTAAACTGGAGAAACATACAATGGCCAAGATGCAGGTAGCACTTAAGGAAGATAAGAGTCAAGTTTTATTGCCCCAAAGGGCATGCTGGCAAAGAAGCAGAGGAGAGAAGCCTCTTCTCAGCAAGACTACTGCAAAGGCCGTTTTCCACAACATCAGAAGTGTCTGTCCAGAGCAGTTCGGGCGGGCCAACGGCTGTGATTACAGGAGGCCTCTACACGCCTTCAAGAAAACCTGACTCCTGGGGGGCGGGACCAGGGTTCCATCCTCAGCACCACATAAAAATAAAGGCATTGTGTTGTGTCCATCTACGCCTAAAAATAAATATTTAAAAAAAAGAAAACCTGACTCCCACAGATACAAAAACATGGCAGTGATTCTCCCATGGAGCGTTCCTACAAAGGCCATACCTGTAATCGCAGAGCTTGGGCTGACTGCCACACTGCTGCTTGCACACCACACAGTAACTGCACAGGGGCACGTTGCCTCGGATCCAGTGGTGGGGCATGACATCCAGGGCCCTGCCCTCACTCTTGAGCATGATCTCCTTGCACTGGAAGCGTTTGTCGGCCTTCTTGAGGCAGCCCTCGTCCACTCGGAGCCCGCAGCAGTCGCAGAAGGCACCCTGCAGAATGTGCTGGGCGCACACGCAGCAGTAGGTGGGCTGGCTGAACAGGTCCGTGTCCCGCCACCCGTGCTTGCTCTTGCGGAAGATGTCCCTGCGGTGCAGTTGCCGGCGCGACCTCTGCAGGCTACACCAGAAGGTGATGAACACGGGCAGCAGCACCGAGCACAGAGTCCACAGGATCAGGTGCCCGTCGGCGAGCAGGCCCTCGGCGGGCGGGCCCGACCCCGGCTGCCCCTCGCCTTCCATCTTTTCCAAGGCCGGAGTCTAACTAGGAGAGAGCAGGCGGTCAGTGGGGGCTCGCGCTCCCCTCGCAGGGCTCCGTCCGGCTTCTCCCGGGCGAAGGCGGGCTCGCTCCCGGCTGCTCGGCCTGTTTCTGGAGTCGGGAGCCTGGGCCCGAGGACACCTCAACTCGCCACGCGAAGCGCAGGCCTGGCGCACCAAGGGGCACGATACCCATTCACAGGCTCCCTCACCTCCAAGACCGGCTCTGCTGACCGAGTCGGTAACCGCCGGCCCCAGCCCCGCGCTCCCCTCCGGCACTCAGCCGTTTGGTACCGGCGCGCCGCCTTCTTCAGGGCCCCACTGCCCTCGCCCCTTTGGCAAGGCCTCCGGAAACCCACGCCTCCTCCCCGACCACCCCGGGCCCTATCTCTAGCTCAGGCCTCCGCGGGCGGTCCCGCGCCCCCACCGCAGGGCCCGACTGTGGGCCCCCAAGTGGTGAGGAGACCACCGCGCGCCAAGCGCACGAGCGCAGAGGCTACGCACGCGGCGGCGGCCGGGGCGTGGACTGGGCGGAGCTTGTGGTGGCGCACCCCGTGGCTGGGCGGGGCCAGAGCTGAGGGGCGGGGCGCAGGCTTGAGGTGGGTGGGGAAGAAGGACAGGCTTGAGGGTGGAGACCACGGGAGGGGAGGGGCAGGGGGAATTGGGGCGTGGCTTAGGGGAAATGGGGCGGGGTTATAATGGAGGCGGTAGGATGGGTGGTGTAGTGTTACACGTTGGTAATTAAAGAAAACTTTAGGTAAAATTTTTTTAAAAAGATGACCTTTATTTTATTAATTTATTTATATGCGGTGCTGAGGATGGAACCCAGTGCTTCACACATGCTAGGTAAACGCTGGACCACTGAGCCCCAACCCCAGCCCCTAGTGTAAATTTTTTGTGGTATAATGACCTTCAACTTGGCTACCTCCTCACTCTCGGAGTTGAGAGCTGGCATTCTCTTATTTGAATGGACAGGTTTTATTTTTTGCCCTACCAGGAATTGAATCCAGGGGTGCTCTACCAGTGAACTACATCTCCAGCGCTTTATAAAAAAATTTAAAAATTTTTTCATTTGTTCTTTTTGTTTATACATGATGGTAGAATGTATTTTTGTACATGACTTGGTATTACGCTGGTTGTGTATTCATACATGAACATAGGAAAGGAAAGTCTGATTCATTCTACTGTCTTTCCTATACCCATTTCCCTCCCTTCTCTTCATTCCCCTTTGTCTAATCCAATGAACTGGATAGCCCCCTCCTCTTTATTTTGTGTTAGTAGTTCTGCATATCAGAGAGAACATTTGGCCTTTCATTCAATCCCCAGGAGAACTCCAAGTAGTGTGAGAACTGCAAAGTAGCTGCAGAGGCGGTTAGTAATGCCTCGCCTGTCAATCAATACTATTGGCAAAATGCCAGGGGCCATTCCGACTCAGCTGTGGCTCTCAGCAATGCCATAATTCATTCTTCTTTATGGCTGCATAATGTTCCATTATGTATATATACCACATTTTCTTTATCCATTCATCCGTTATAGGGCACCTAGTTTGGTTCCATAGCTTAGCTATTGTGAATTGAGCTGCTCAGAACATTGATGTGGCTGTATCACTATAGTATGCTGATTTTAAGTCTTTGGATATATGCAGAGGAGTGAGATAACTGGGTCAAATAGTTGTTCCATTCCAAGTTTTCTGAGGGAATTTTATACTGCTTTCCAGAGTGTTGCACCAATTTGCAGTCCCACCAGCAATGTTTGTTGTTACCTGTATTCTTTATATGTCCTGTATTCTTTGTGTGTGTGTGTGTGTGTGTGTGTGTATATATATATATATATATATATATATATATATATATATATTTAGTTATAGTTGGACACAATATCTTTATTTTATTTATTTATTTTTGTGTTGTGCTGAGGATCGAACCCAGCGCCTAGCACGTGCTGGGTGAGTGCTCTACCACTGAGCTATAACTCCAGCTTGTTTCTTGTATTCTTGATAATTGCCATTCTGACTAGAATGAGATGAAATCTCAGTGTAGTCTTTATTTTTTTTCATACTAGGGATTGAACCCAAGGGAGCTTAACCACTGAGCAACATCCCCAGCCCCGCCTTTTTTTTTTTTTTAAATATACTTTATCTAGAGACAGGGTCTCTGATTTCCTTAGGGACTCTCGAAGTTGCTGAGTCTGGCTTTGAACTCGTGATCCTCTTGCTTCAGCCTCCCAAGCTGCTGGGACTTCAGGTGTACACCACTGCCCTGCTCAGTGTAGTCTTGATTTGCATTTCTCTAATTGCTATAGATGTTGAACATTTTTTTAAAATATATTTGTTGATTGATCGTATTTCTTCTGTGAAGTGTCTGTTCAGTTCCATTGCCCATTTATTGATTGGGTTTTTTTTTTTGGGGGGGGGTGTTTTTTTGAGTTCTTTATATATCCTGGAGATTAATGCTCTGTGGTGCAGGTGGTAAAGATTTTCTCGAATTCTGTAGGCTCTCTGTTCACATTCTTGATTGTTTCATTCGTTGTGAAGAAGTTTTTAGTTTGACACCATTCTATTTATTGATCCTTGATTTTACTTCTTGTGCTTTAGGAGTCTTGTTGAGGAATTCGGTTCCTAAACTGACATAAGGGAGATTTGGGCCTTTTTATTCTAGTCAGCACAGGGTTTCTTGTCCAATGGCTAGGTCTTTGATCCACTTTGTGTTTTGTGCAAGGTGAGAGACAGGAGTGTAATTTTATTTTGCTGCATATGGATTTCTAGTTTTCCCTAAACCACTTGGTGAAGAGGCTATCTTTTCTCCAATGTCCATTTCTGGCACCTTTGTCTAGTATGAAGTAACTGTATTTATGTGGGTTTTTCTCTGTGTCTTCTATTCTGTACCATGGTCTTCATGTCTGTTTTTGTTATTATAACTTCGTAGTATAATTTAAGGTCTGGTATTGTGTTACCTCCTGCTTCACTTTTCTTGCTAAGGATTGCTTTAGCTATTCTGGGCCTCTTGTTTTTCCAAATGAATTTCATGATCACCTTTTCTATTTCTATGAAGAATGTCATTGGAATGTTAATAGGAATTGCATTAAATCTTTTTAAAATTTTGAGACAGGGTCTGGCTAAATTGCACAGGATGACCTGGAACTTGTGATCATCCTGCCTCAGCCTTCCCAGGAGTGTGCCTCCACGCCCAGTGAAAACTGACAGTTTTTGAGAGTGATAAATACTAGCGAATAGGACAGTCCAGTCAGATATTGATAAATGCCAACTGTGCTCACTGCTGAGTGCTCCTATGTGTCAAGCACTGTGCAGGAACTCCCAGCTCTCACAGAGCTCCTGGCCTGTGAAACAGGCCAAACAAGAAGAAATATTTACCTGCCCCATTGACAATGGCTTACTGCACCCCAGCTGTTTCCTCCATACTCTCCAGGTGCTATGTTAATTTTAATATGCCCATTTTATTGCTGGGGAACACTGAGGCACTGAGAGGTTGCAACATGCTTCATGTTATGCAGGTGAGATCCCTTTTCAGATCAGGTTTAAATGGAACCATCAGAGAAAGTTTCTCTTATGTTTTTACTTCTGGGGTAACCTTACCCTGGGGGTCTTGCTAGTATGCAGTTTCTGATTTCCTTTCTCTGGGAAGGGGCCTGAGAGTCTGCATTTTTTTTTTTTTTGTGGTACTGGAGATTGAACCCAGGGGTGCCTATTAATTTTTTTATTTTGAAGCAAGGTCTTGCTAATTGGCTTAGGGCCTCGATGCATTGCTGAGGCTGGCTTGAACTTGCGATTCTCTTGCCTCAGTGTGCTGAGTTGCCCGGATAACAGGCATGCACCACCACCCAGGCTGAGAGCTTGCATTTTTTATGTGGCTTGTACCAGGGCCGCACTTTGTGTATGGAAGCTGAAGTGTTTGGATTAAGAAGACTGAGGAGGTGGTATGGTGAAACCCTTCAAATAGGATTTGAAAAGTTAACAAAACACACTTTTAAAAACCGACTTTAAAATTCCTATTATAGAATATTTGGAAAATAGACAGAAAAGCAGAAGAGAAGAAAAAATGTTCACTGATCTGTTGCCTCAAAGATGACCTAAACCTGTGTTTGAAGATTTTGGTCTATTTTTGCCATTATTTTTAATGGAAACAATGGTTTGCTTTTTTTGTATACATCCTTTGAGATCATGTGGTCGATATATTTTCCATCTGGCTATGTTAGTATTACAAAATAACCGTTTTTTTGTTTGTTTGTTTTTAAAAGTCATGTGCAGTGGCTGTGTAATATTTCATTCTTTGAATGATGACTACAAATTACAGTTTATGTGACCTTACCTCTGTTGGCTATTTAAGTTTCTTTTAGTATTTTGCTGTCATAACAGCTCCTCTGATGAGGATGATTTCTTTAAGATTCTCACATTTAGCTAAAAGATATGAAAAAAGTTCAAGGCCTATGAAAAAGTTTTTAATAATATTCTTGGTTGGGGATATAGCTTAGTTGGTAGAGTGCTTGCCTTGCATGCACAAGGCCCTGGGTTTGATCCCCAGCACCCCCCCCCCCCAAAAAAAAAAGTCTCTCTTTGCTAAGTGAAAATCATCTGGAAAAAATAAATTTGTTCCTGTGTAGGGACAGATTCATAGAAATTATCACATCTGGGTTGGAGGTGTAATCAGTGGTAAAGTGTGTGCTTAGTATCAGGCCCTTCAAGAAAAAAGAAAAACACACAAGCACATTCTTATTCCAGTAAAGATGGTGATGATAATATAACAGCTTGGCACTGGGGATCCAACCCAGGGCCTTGGGCATGCCGAGCACTGTCTCAACCACTGAGCTACACCTTCCAACCCCCCAATTGTTACTCTGATAGTCAGCCTGTGTTGACTGGTTTGCAGGTCCTAGATGCTGTGCTGTTAGTCATCCTTATTTTATACATGAAGAAAGCTTGGTGGATATCACGCAGCCCCAAGTTAACTGAAGGGAAACTTTGACCCCAGGTTTGTGTCATGCCAAAGCTTCGATGCTGTTAACCCAGGCAGGGTATCTCAGGTGTGGTTTTGGACCACCTGCATGAGCGGCATTTAAAATTTCGGATTCCCAGTTCCTGATCAGATCTCCTGAATCAAAATTGCAATGGAGCTAGGAATCAGTCTTCTTCCTGAGTTCCCTATGTGGTTCTTCTATTTGTTCGTTCAAACTTTTTTAGTGTGAAATGTATCATCTACAGGAGGGTTTACAAGATACATCCACACAGCTTAAAAAATGATGATAGAACAATCGAACACCTGTGTGCCCACTGCTCAGGTTGATGTGTTAAACATCAGGGGTCTCTCATGTGCTGGTCTGATTGCTACCCCTCTTCCCCTATCAGAGGAAACCTCTATCCTAATGTCTGTGGTCTTAATTTCCTTAGCTGTGACATACCTGCGAGTATTCCTAAAGGATAGAGTTCTGTCTGGAAAGATCCAATAGCACACCCAAACCTAGTGCTGTTGGGAGATACCATAAAGCAGTGGATATGAGAAGGTTCCCAGGAGAACTTAAGCTGAGCACTTTAGGGACAGAGTGAGTTCAGCTTCCCTGAGAAGATCCCACCTAGGGAAGTCAGTGGGCAAGGTCTTGGGAAGACTGCTTGTCACAGAGGGGACATCTGAACGGGGATGTCATTTGAACGTCTGGCAAACATATGACTGAAGAGGGAGGAGTCTGCTTTCTTGTTTTGCATCTGATCTCATTAGGGCCTGCTTTAGTGTCTCGGAAGGTAACGTGAACGTTCTCAGAGAGAAATGAGGACTTTTGCAGATCCAGGTAATAGGTCGTGAGGACTGGGAGTGGGAGAGCGGGAACTCGCCAGCTCCTGGTCTTTAAGATAAACAAAATCCAGATACACAGTGACTGAGGCCCACCAGGCAGTCTGGTGTCAGACTGCCTTCTTTCACTTTTTTTTTTTCTGGTGCTAGGATTGTACTCTGGAGCATTTTACCACAGAACTACATTTGCAGTCTTTTTTACTTTTCTGTTTTGAGACAGGGTCTTGCTAAATGGTTGAGGCTGGCCTCAAACTTATAATCCTCCTTTCTTAGCCGCCTAAATCACTGGGATTACAGGTGTTTGTGACTGTGACTGGCTCTTTCATTTTCTAATGAGAATTTAAGGCTCTTCTGGTCTTTCCATGTCTCTCTCTCTCTCTTTTAATTTCATTGGTGTATTATAATTATATATAGTAGGGGGGTCATTATGTCTTAATCACATATGCACATACCATAATTTGATCAATCTTCCCCAGGGCCTTCCTTTTCTCTCCTCATCTCCCTGCTCCTGATCTGATCTGCTTTCTCTACTCCACTGATCCATCTTTTATTATTATTTCAATTAATGCATTATAGTTATACATATAAGCAGGATTCCTTATTATATGCACACGCGGACATAGCATAATTTGGTAGCTTTTCCATGTCTTTTTTTTTTAAATGGAGAAAAAGTTTATTTTGCCTCACGGTTTCAGAAGCCAGAAGCTGACGCCATAGTTCTGGGCTCAAGGTGAGGTGGACCATCATGGTGGAAGGGTGTGGTGGAGGAAAGCAGCTCAGGACACGGCAGCCAGGAAGCAGAGAGAGCTTTCTTGATAGCTCATGTCTTTTCAGTGCTGAACAGCATTCCATTGTCTGAAAGTACTACAGTTTATCCCTTCTCCCCTGGAAGGACATCTTGGTGGCTTCCAAGTTTTGGCAATGGTGAATAAAGTTTCTGTGAGCATCTGTGTGCAGTTTTTCATGTGGACCTAGGTTTTCAACTCCTTTGGGTAAAATTTGGGTAAATGTCTAAAAAAAAATTTTAGTTTTATCCCTAAATCTATTTATTGATTTTGTATTTTTCCCTGTTGTGGTTTCCAAGGACTTCTCTTCTTTTGAGACAGGATCTTGCTATATTTCCCAGGCTGGCCCTTGACCTCCTGGGCTCAACTCAGCCTCCTGTCCCAGCTTCCTAAGTGCTAGGACTACAAACATAAGCCACTACACTTGGTTCAGAATTTATTTTTCATTGTTTGATTTTTCAAATATTCATTTTCTCCCCCAAGCTTCCTGTTCATATTTCATGAAAGCAAAACTTTTCTCTGGTCTCTTACAAAAATATTAATATTTATTTATTTTTTTCATTTCCTAGATTCTGATGGCCTCTCAGTTCTGCTTTGTTTTTTTTTTTTTTTTTTTTTTTAGGTCTTATCTTCCCCTTCAGAAGCTTCTCAGATGTCTGGTGAACCTCCAGGTGATTCTTCCACAGGTCTGATTATCATCCCAGTAAAAACAACTTGCATTTCAGTATTTCCCCCCCAAACTAAAACATTCTCTTCCTGTTCAAGGCCCTCGTGCTTTTCCTGAATAAATATAATGGGACAGTAGCCCTCAAAGTGGCTTCACCAGTTATTCTCCACTCCTGTGATCATCGGTCCCCATTCTACATTCCTGCCTCTCTGCCAGGGCTCCTCTCCTTCCTGTTTAGGTTGGACAGCAACCTGGCTCTGGCCGACAGGAACCCACTGCTGACCTTGGCTGTCCTCACCTGTGGGCAGACACCAGTGGAGGCCAATGTCCTTGATGCAGAGGAGAAATTATAGCCCATTTGTGGAAGCACGAGGTAGGCCGGAAGGGCCCTTGTCCAAAGCCAAACATCTCCCCATTGTGTGGCTGCTCCAAACAGGAAGGGGTGTGTGACTGTGAAGTCCTGAGGAGAAGGGAAGGGAGGGGAGGGGAAGGGGAGCCTGGGTTGGCTGAGCAGGCGGGGCCGATCAGCTCACAGTGGAAAGGGGCCATGTTTTCTTTTCTAATAAAGGCATATATTTAAAAAAATTCAACAATATATAAAGTTGTGTACCTTAATACATGTGTGATTAATATCTCTATCTTCGGTCCTTCAAAATGTTCTTACATACATTCTATCATGTGACTTGAGAACGGAGCAGGTATGCAGATACAAATAAGGGTGATTCACACAGAGGAGGAAAAATGATAATGATGACAGTCAGAATGATTTCTAGGTGTGGGACCTTTCCTGTAATGTAACGGCCATAATGGAAACATCATCACAATAATGGTGTCCAAATATTAGGCTCCAAGTAGAGACTCCTACTGTTGTGGGGCAGGTCACTCAGAAAACACACCAAGTGCCAGTTTTGTCCAAATCGAAGAGTCTTCATTTAGCCGCTGGCTGGTGACTGCTCTCTGCAGGACCCATAACTGTCTCCGCAAGGAACAGCCTCGAGCCTAAACATTTAAAGGCAAAACCTGCAAAAACCACATCTGGGTTGATACAGCTGCAAGCAAGCAGGGGCACAGAAGCTGAATCGAGCAGTTAGTAAGGCAATGTGATGGGTACATTAGTATTTCCCATGGGACGTTCCAGGTTGGCACAGCAGCAAGCGAGCAGAAGGGAAGTGGGTCAAAATGACCCTGGTTGAGTACAAGTTAGAGAATGGTTACTAATATCTAGATAATCAATCTCAGACAGAGTACATTGGCCAAGAAAAATGGGAACCAAAGAGAGAACAATTTTACATTGTATAAGAGTTGACATTTTGTGTTGCCAAGTATGCTGTGCTAGGTAACTATTAAAGGGTACAAAGGTGGGGCTTTCCCATGGGAAAGGCCATATCTTACATGATATGGAGTATCAGGATAAAACAGAGTCTGTTTGATCATTGCCCATAGAGCCTGGCCCATAACACTATGTATACCGCCTCTTCAAATCTCAAGACAACCTTGTAAGGTAAACTTGATTACAATTCTTCTTGGTTTGAATAAATGAGTGAGCAGTGGGTTGGAAAGCTTCGAAATTTGTCCAAGATTGAGCTGCTCCAAGGGTAGTCAGTGTGAAAGCCAGATTTGAGCCCAGGCCTATCAATGCCTCTCCAGCCCACAGTCTCCACCATTTACCACATTGCTTGCAGGGTGGGTATTTATTTGATTTTCAATGGATATTCTGGAAGGACCCTATTATTTTAAATACCTTAGGCCCAGGAGCACCAAGATTTGGAAATGCTAGCCATCCCATTAAAATCTCCTGCGTGTGTTAGCTACTGTCAGGATAATGCTGCATAACAAAATCATTCCTAGACTCACTGGTTTTCAGTAACCATCATTTATCCTCAAGGTTCTGCAGGTGGATGGTGGCTCTGCTTCAGGCTGTGGTGCTGGGGCTGAACAGGGTGGGTGACCTTCACCAATGGGTTACATTGACCTTCACCAATGCTATTATCCTGTTGCCCTAAAGCAAGTCACTTGGTTGAGCCCAAGTCAGGTTGCAGGTGGTGAAGGATAGATCCTAATAGTTCAACCTACCACACCTGCCCAAGCCTAACATCTGCTTGAATTGTGTACTTCTCAGTTAATGTGCTTGTTAGGTATGCATATAGTTACTTATCACTACTTTAAAAATTATGAAAGAATTTTGTGTATATTGAGAAAATAAAGAGCTTATAGTCTGATTGGAAAGATGGACAATAAAAAGATGAAAACGCGAATCCCAGTGACTTGGGAGGCTGAGGCAGGATGATTAAGAGTTCAAAACCAGCCTCAGCATCTTAGTGAGGCCTTAAGCACCTCAATGAGACTCTAAGTAAAATATAAAAAAGGAATGGGGATGTAGCTCAGTGGTTAAGCGCCCCTGGGATCAATCCCCTGTACCATTAAAAAAAAAATGGGACACTTATTATTCTCTTTCTTGAAACATAGATATTTATGTTGTTCCCATATCTCAGAAATTTTTTTTTAGCTAATGGAATTTGAAATCACTGTCTTTTCCTATTAAACCAGTATTAGCATGACAATGTTGAGAATTCTGTGGCATTTGCTTTATCATTGATCTTTAAATATTGGTGTGACTTAGGAGTCCTTTCAAAAAAGAAATAGGAAACCCACACAAATGAAACTATTAGTTATGGTAAGGTGCTGTGAATATGGGTTGTAGCCTTCTTTCTATGTTCTTAATATTATCATCTTGGTAATATAGCTTTCTTAGGCCTCGGAATCTGATGAAGACCTTCAAGTAATTCATTAGCTAAAATAGTAGGGAAATAGTCTTGGGCACTGCAGCACCATCTCTCTCCACCTCTGGTGATATGCTGGGCCCCTGGCAACTTCCTGAGTAGTTGGCCTTGGCCTTGAGTTTCTTTCCTCTGACCTTGGTCCTCCCTAATCCCCCTCTCTACTCTGCCACCTTGTGGATTTTTTTTGCAATTGCATCTTCTCTGGAGAATCTGATTCAGGTATCTGACTGCTGCTTTCACTGGGAACAGGGTAGAGGAGTAGAAGAGAATTCCCCTCACCACAGTGACACTCACAACAAGGACCTTACTCTTTCAGTCTTTCTATAGCGCCTTCCGCTTTGGGGACAATATCCCTGGAGGCCAGCTGAAGGGCATTTGAATGACACCTTTGAATATCATATCTGACCAGCTCTCTCCATCTGAGACCTTGTACCAGCATCCCAGGGTGTGATACAGGCCTGACTCTCTGGAATCACCTCTTCAGTCCCTTATAAAAACAATACAAGATTACTTAGATTTACAGTCCAGGGGAGGAAACAGATTTAAAAAAATAAACAAATATTTGTAAATTCTGGTAAGTACTCTTAGACGAACAGTAGTGGTAGAGGTGATGGAGTTAGGAAATTTTATTAAGTAGACTAGTAAGGGCAGTCTTGTCTGAGCAGGAGAAATTTCAAGTTGAAGCTCAAAGGATAAGAAGAATGTGGTTGTGAAAAGAGCACGGGCAAAGGTCCTGAGGTGGGAAAGAACTTGTTAAATTGAAAGCAACTGAGTGATTGCAATGAATTTTAGGGGCGTGGAGTTGGAAAAAACAGTATGTGTAGATAACCTGGGGTCCTATAGTGCCTAGTAAGACTCTTATTTTGTTCTGAATCCAAAAGGAGTTTAATAATTTATTTATTTTTTAAAAACTGGGGCGATCGAACCTAAGGGGTTCTAGCTCTAAACTATATCCATAGTCCTTTAAGTTTTTTTTAAAAAAATCTTTTAAAATTTTGAGACAGGGTCTTGTTAAGTTTCCCAAGCTGACTTCGAACTTGTGATCCTCCTACCTCAGGTTCCCCAGTTACTGGGACTATAGGTGTGTACCACTGTACCCGGCTTACCACGAAGGTTCCCATGCAGGGGAAGGATGAGGTCCAACTTAGATTTTCTGTTGATCATCCTTGTTGCTTCGTGGGGAGGAATGGGAGAGAAGCTGGGAGACCTGTCGGAACCTGGTGCAAAAGCTGGTTGAGAGGTAACAGTGGCCTAGCCTTGTGTAGTGGTGACGAGATGCAAGAATTTAGACCCAGGCTGTTCAGCACAATAGTCATTAGCCACATGGAGGTAAAATATCCCATTAACGATTTGTTTATATTGATTTTATGTTGAAATAATATTTTGAATATTTCATTGTGTTAGATATAATAGTAAACATTTAACTTGTAGTTTTAAAAAATGTGGCTCTGCTGTGCCTGGTGGTTCACGTCTGTAATTCCAGGGACTCTGAAGGCTGAGGCAAGTTCCAGACCAGCCTGGGAAACTTAGTGAGATACTGTCTCAAAATAAATAATAAAAAGGGCTAGGGAGGTGGTTCAGAGGCACAGTGACTTTGGGTTTAATTCCCAGTAATAAAACAAAACAAAACAAAACGAAATAAAACAAAAAGCGGCTACTGGGGAACTTTAAACTGCCTGTGTGGCTTGCCTCTGAGACTCACATTATGGTTTTTATTGTGTAGCTCTGATAGAGACAAAAATGACTCAATTAAAAAAAAGGCTTTGATTAAATTTACCCTCCACACACTGGAAATTTCTAGCTAGGTATCGTTTATTTTCTGGTCCACGGAAGATGTTTATTTAATAAAACAAAACAGCATAGCTGGTATTCTATCCAACCACAAAGACTAAAAGGAATGAAGTGTTTGAATATGCATATAAAAGACCCAGGATATTTCATGTGACAGATGCATGCATTTCTGAAATAACGCTCATAGAATTCCTTGAGTTTTGGAAATTGTATGAAAACAGAGGGATGTTCGTATCAAAAGAGTACAGAAAACCAAACACCACATTTTGAGCAAATTATCCTGTGAGGCAACTTAGGCTAATAGTGCATGACTTTTTTTTTCCTTGTTTACAATCTGCTCAGAATGTCTTTATGCCAACCAAGTAGGCAGAATATTTTGGTTTAATATCAGTTACACAGCATTAGCATAGACTCTGAGGACTACAGAACAGGTTTTGTTTTCTTTTGAGCTGGAAAAGTGACCACAGAAACATCAGTCTCCTGAATGGAGACTTTTATCCAAAAAGATGACACATCCCTCCTAGAATATTTTATAATATACTTAAAAACTTCTTCATGTAATATTTATAAATGATTTTAAGAGAACTTCAGCATATTGAGATTTTCTTATCTTTATGAAAACAATCTTGAGTCTGGTGTGAGGCTGTTTAAGGTCTTACTGATGGCATATTGCATAAGGCCCTATAAAAAGATGAAGGGCCACCCCTGAGATCATGGGATGTGATAGTCAGCTTTCTACCACTATGGTGAAATACCTGAGGTAACTAACTTATAAAGAGAAAAGGTTAGATTAGTTGAGTACAGCAAATGAAGGAGGAAGGAGGGAAGAGAAAGGAAAGATACTAGGGAATGAGATTGATCAAATTATGTGCATGTTCAGATATGGCATCATGAATTTCATTATTATGTATGACTATAATGTACCAATAAATATATAATTAAAAAAAAGAGAGAAAAATTCATTTTGGCTCGATATTTTGGAGGTCCCAGTCTGTTATCAGTCGTCTCCATTGTTTTGGGCCTGTGGTGAGGGAGCACATCATGGTGGGAGTCCGTGGTGGAGCAAAACCGATTACATAAGGAGCCCAGGAGAGAAAGAGAGGGAGGAAGGGGCTGGGTTCTACAACCCCTTTGGAGGCATGCCTGGAATGACCCTAGGGCTTCCCACTAGAGGTCAGCTCTTAAAGGTTCCTCTGTCTCCAATAGAGCCACCTTGGGGACAAATGGCCTTTAACACATGGGTCTTAGGGGGCATTTAACTCTCCACCGTGGGGCACAGTGGGAAGAACACACCCTGCTGGTTTGAGCACAGAAGATTGGACTGTCCCTCAGCATCCTAATGGGTGAACTTTGGGGCTAGGGATGTGGCTCAAGCGGTAGCGCGCTCGCCTGGCATGTGTGCGGCCCGGGTTCGATCCTCAGCACCACATACAAAGATGTTGTGTCCGCCAAAAAAACTAAAAAATAAATATTAAAAAAAAAATTCTAATGGGTGAACTTGGACTTGATATCTCTGGATCTCACTTTCCTCATTTGTAAATGACCCTAGAGCTTTTGGGTGACAGTGCTTAGTCACAGCTTACCCCTCACTCTTTATCACAGCCCACGAGGAAGTTTCTGTTATCTCCTTTTAATAGGAGAAAACAGAAGTTCAGAGAGGGTAAGTGGCTTACCTAAAGTGTCTGTGTCAGAGAGACCTGAAGCCAGGAGTTGAACCCTGGGCTTTCTGGTTCCAAAATCAGCTGGAAAAAAAAAAAAACACAAACAAACAGAAAAACAACTTTGTGACTGGTAAATGGGCTTTGGAAAAATGTCCTAAAATAGGCAAATGTAAGAGATGATTGATACTCAGTGAAACAGGAGCATAGACTGCATCTATAGGTAAATACCCACAAATGACTAAGGAACATATTGGAAAGTCTGTTGAAATAAACATCACGTGCACCTTCTGAAAGTCAAGCCTTGGAATTCATCTTGCAGAGGGATAATTTCCTTCCTCAGGATGAAAAAAACATCACAGGAATTCAGAGGAAAACATTTTAGCAGTGGGTTGTTATTACATCCGAGAGTCAGACACACTCAGCGTCACCTGGCAAGTCCTATTAGTTGAAGCATCAACAAGCATTGAGACTGACTGACTTGGCTGCCTTCAAGTAGGCTGACCAGCCGGGAGGATCCGTTCAGCCACAGGCAGAGGGAAGCCGGGCAGGATGAAGAACCTGTCAGCACTTGTGCTTGCAGTCGCCTTACTGGCTTCCTTGGCAGGTGGGCACAGACTCAGACCACACCACCTGTTTCTGTGCTACTGCACTAACCTGGAATAACAGTGTGTCTGGTACTTTTGAAATATTGTTTCATTTCAAGTAGTATATTAGTGTATATTGAATAGATATTTCATCTCTCTCTCTCTCTCTCTCTTCCTCCCTCCCTCTCCTTCTCTCTCTCTCTTTTTTTCTTTCTACTAGGGATTGAACTCAGGTGCACTCGACCACTGAGCCACAACCCTAGCCCTTTTTACTTTTTATTTTGTGACAGGGTCTCATTGAGTTGCTTAGGGCCTTGCTAAGTTACTGAGGCTGACTTTGAACTTGCCATCCTCCTGCCTCAGCCTCCTGAGCCGTGCTCTGTGGCTGTTTCCCTTCCTTCCCTCCCTCCCTCCCTTCTTTCTTTCTTTTCCTCCCTCCCTTTCCTCCTTCTATCCTCTCTTTTTTTCTGTAAGATCAGGCTTCCAGAATTGCTAACATAAGGGAGAAATTCTTTGTCAACAACGTCTTAAAGTCTTTTTAGAATTAATTCTCAAAAATGCTGATAAATCCTTAACTGCTTTTGGAATTCACACGAGATCACCAATATCTGATAGAGTTTGGTTCTGTTAATAGCTTTTCCTATTGGCATGTGATTACCAAAACAATATGATTTTATTAACACAGCATTTTCTTTGAGGGGCTTGTGGGATGACTGAGTTTACATAATCTTATTGTCCCTGGGAATCGTTCAATAACAACTTTGGACTCAATTTTGCCTATTGAGAATTTTAAAAAAAGAAAATCCCCCTGGAGGGAACTCAAGAGAAATGCAGACCAGAGAACTGGAGAAAATGTCTTAAAAATATATTCATTAAGTTCATGCCCAGTTTTAAAGGAATGGGTCATTGAAATAGGTAAATGGTTTTAAATTTTGTGGAGCTTTTTTCTGAGTTAACTGTATGAGAAACAATTTTAAATTCTTCTCTGAGCCTTCTGGGATGCTGTGTCCTTTGGGACAGGTTTCTCAGAGAGAAGTTTTGTATTTTAATTGAAGTTGAACTTGCAAACACTTTGCCTGGGACTGTGGAGATGGAGCATGAACTCCTGAGAGTCCCTGAGGCCCCTTCCTGATATTTTCCAGAGGCCTCTCCGATTGTGAGCGAAAAACAGGCCAAACAGCTCCTGAGATCCCGGCGACAGGACAGGCCCAGCAAACCTGGATTCCCTGACGAGCCAATGCGGGTGAGTGTGGGCCCTGGCAATTTTTAAAAAAATGCTACCTGCTGGATGCTCATTTACCTTGAAACTAAACTGGGTGCTGGTCCCAGTACAGGCTGCAGGGTGGGGGTCCTGTTACTGTCTCAGGTATGATATACATGCACTCTCAAACTCTTTTTTGCGGGGGTGGGGTACTAGGGATTTAGCTCAGGGGCACTGGACCACTGAGCCACATCCCCAGCCCTACTTTGTATTTTATTTAGAGATAGGGTCTCAGGGAGTTGCTTAGCGCCTTGCTTTTTTCTGAGGCTGGCTTTGAAGTCGTGATCCTCCTGTCTCAGCCTCCCAAGCCACTGGGATTACAGGTGTACACCACCACACCCAGCCACTCTCAAAATTTACCTGTGTTTTATCTCTCCTGGAGGTGCCAGCTCCACTTACCTATTGTGAATGGAGTATTTAAAATAGAGGTGGCAGGGCTGACGGTGGAGCCCCCGTATGCTGAGTGGGCTGTGCAGTGTTACACCCCTGACTTGGTTGCTAGGGAGCTGTACCCTTTAACTGATACCAACCTCACTTTCTTCCGTATGGGCCCCAGGCAGACTGGACCAGTATCCTTGGCCCATGATGGTCTGTCCAGGCAGGCAGAATCTGAGTCACAGCTGCCCGCGGGGTTCTGCCCTGCCCTGTCCCTCTGATTTTGGTCTTCGGCCTCAGCTCTGCTTTGTGACTTCACAGTGTTCCCCTGCCTAGTCTTTCTTGCTTTCATGTTGTCAATTTAGTGGACGCAGTTAGACCTTGCCATGCTCCTCCCAGCACAGTTCTGGCCTAGCTGGGTGCCTCCTGTGGCTGAAACAGTCCTGACATTTCTACCCCAGAAGGTAAGTAGCAGCGACTCAGCCGGGTCAGGAAGCCGGGGAGTGTCTCTGTGGTCCAGGCTGGTCTCCCATCCTGGGCCTATTTGACTGGGCACCAGCTCAGCCTCTTTTCACTGTGTTCTATGTGGAGGCCCAGAAAGCCATACTTCTCTTCACACTCTGCAGACTCCTGTGCGGATCTTGGCGATTTCACTGAAAAGCCTCTATTGGATACTGCCTGGTATGATCCTGGGGAGGGCTGGCTGGGGACACACGCGCTTGAATCTCTTCATTTTCCATCTGTGTAATTTTGGGGAAGTTTCCTATACATTTCTGCACTTCAGTACCATCTTCTACAAAATGGGGATAATAACAAATATTATGACTTATATTACTGTAATAGCACTATAAATAAAATGTAAAATAACTCTTTTAAGAGGATACAACAAAGTAGTTCACAGTGAAGCACTTAGAACAGCACTCAGCAAGTGGAAACGATTCCTTTACCAGGTGCTGAGCTGGGTGCTCAGGCCATAGCAAGAGTAGCTGAGGTCTCTGCTGGGTCCTGTGAGACAGGGAAGGGAGCCCATGGCTCTGACTCAGCGGGGACTTAAAAATGAATCAGGACTTCAGGCTGTTAAGGATAGACGTGCCTCTTTTGGCAGAAGAAATAAGAGGTGGTTCAGAACACCCAGGTGCAGGATGGGAGGGGACTGGGGAGTGGGCAGGGGTAGGGGTAAGAAAGGTTTCAGTACCCTGGACTTCACCTCATGTTCAGAAGAGAGTAACGGAAGGATTTTCAAATGGAGCAGAACAGATCTGGGTTTTAGACACAGTCTAAAGAGCAATTTAAAGAGGGGAGGCCCAGGATTGGAGTCTGGGTCACCGACACTCAGAGGTGGGCAGAGCAGGAAGGAGGAGCCCTGAGGATGCTGAGAGGAATGTAGTAGGGTGGCTGAGCAAGGAGACCAGGACCAGGAATGGGGGTGGGGGAGGGTGAGGGAGGGAGCTACAAAGGATGCCTGGAGTGAGGGCCTGAGGGGAGGCAAACTTCGAGTGCACAATGTTCACAACTGAAAGACAGTTGTAAAGGAAAACTCACCCACCTACATTTCTATTTATAAGTATGTGTGTGTGTGTGTGTGTGTGTGTGTGTAGAGAGACATGTTGTCAGACAAAAAGGACAATGTTTGCTGGGTGATAAGATTTGGGACAAATTTTTTATCTTCATCTTTACACTTGATGCAGTTACTCAGTGTATTAGTTTCGTAAAGCTGCTATAACAAAGGACCACGAACACCATTGTGGTGCTGCAGTGCTTGTCTTCAGGTAGTAGCCTAACATTATGTCACAATGCTATGTTCTCTCCCTCTCTTCATCTGCTCGAGTAGGCTACGGATCATCTCACATCATCACTACAAGAAGGGTAGGGCTTTGGCACTTGCCTAGCAGGTCAGAGGCCCTGAGTTTGAACCCTAGTATCACACACACACACACACACACACACCAAAAAAGGAAAAAACAAAACAATGCTGAGCACGGTGGCACACACCTGTAATCCCAGTGGCTCTGGAGGCTGAGACAGGAGCATTGCAAGTTCAAAGCCAGCCTCAGCAAAAGCAAGGCACTAAGCAACTCAGTGAGACCCTGTCTCTAAATAAAATACAAAATAGGGCTGGGGATGTGGCTCAGTGGTTAAGTGCCCCCTGAGTTCAATCCTCCGTACCCAAAACAAAATAAAACAAGCAAGAAGAAGAATGAATGCAGTACAATAACAAATTTTGGGAGCTGGGGATGTGGATCAGTGGTGGAGCACTTGCCTAGCATAGCTGAGGCTCTGGGTTCCATCCCCAGCAATGTAAAAAAAATTTTTTTTTAAATTTTTTTTGAGAGTGAAAGAGAACACATTTATATAACCTTTATTATAGTATACTGTAATTGTTTTATTTTATAGTTAGTTATTTCTGTTAATTTTCTACTGGGCCCAAATTAAATTTTATCATAGGAACTACAGAATGAAATTGACCCAATTATACTATGTATACATACAAATACACCCAGTGAATTCCACCTTTGAGTATACCTATAAAGCACCAATTAAAAATCAATGAATAAATAGAAGAAAGATCAACAGAGTAGAGGAAGGGAACATGGAGGGGGAGAAGGGGAAGGAAGGAGGAAGTACTGAAACGTAGCAAATTACATTCCACACATGTATCATTATGTCAAAATGAACCCCACTATTATGAATAACTATAATGCACTAATAAAAATATTTTAAAAATCATCTTATGTCTGTACGTATAGGAAAAAGCAATGTATATAGGGCTCAGCACTACTTGCAGTTTTTAGGTGTCCACTCCAGGTTTTGGACTGTGTCCCCCATGGATAAGGAGGGAATATTGTCCTCAGCCACAAAACAGTGCTATTCACTATTTATATGGGTGCATTCACATGGATGTATATTTCTAGAAAAACGTCCAGAGGGATGATCAGGTGAATGTTAAGCACATCATCTCACTGAGAAGGACTGCAGGTGGTGGTCTAGTGAACTTCATATTTGGTGTCGAAATTTTAAACAACAGTATGCTTTGGGTATTATGTGTATAATTAAAAAAAATTGAAACCATTCACATTTGTCGTAGAAAGATTGGAAATCAAAAAGAGTCAAAGAATAAAGGAAAATCACCTATAGTTCTACTCTCTCTCCCTAAAGAGCATTGGCATTTGAGAATGTATTTCTTTCTAGTCGTTATGAGTGGGTGTATATATTTCTTTGTAAGTTTTTAAAAAAGAGAATCTATAGTTTTGTTTCCTGATTCTTCTCTTATTACTATATCACACACATTTCTTCATATATATACGTATGTATGTGTGTGTGTGTGTATTTTATGTATTTATTTTTTTGTGGTGCTAGGGATTAAACCCAGGGCCTTGTGCACTCTACCAACTGAGTTTTATCCCCAGCCCACATTTCTTCATATTTTAATGGAATATTTATAACCATAATTTTGCCGATTTATTACCTTTTATTACTCCCTCATTGCCAATATTTTCCTATCACAGTCAACATTTCAAACTTTTTTTTTTTTAAATAAAATGCTTTGCTATGAGTACATTTCCAGAAAATTGGTTGTTAGGTCCAAGGGCCCAGCTGTTTCAAAAAGTTTTTAGTATCTATCATTGAATCACTTTGCAAAAGAGTTCCGACACTCTATGTTCCTGTGCTCTGATAGAATGTTCTAGAAGGGATTCTAGGGTGAAGCTATGGTGAGAATGAGATTATGGTGCTCAATTGGAGACCTGTGGCTGTAGCTGGGGCAGGAGGAGAGGGTGCAGAGAGGGAGGGTAGGAGTAAAAAGAGTTGTGGGGTTCCGCAGGGCCGACACGGTGCCACACTGACAAAAGGTGACTGGGGACAGAGGCAGCTTATGTGGGATGATGGTGTGTTTCAGGTTCTTCTCTCATGGCACCTGCTCTCGTCCAGTGGTTAACCCTTATTCACTCGGAGGCTCCCTTTAATTGATGCCCTTTTTTGGGGGGGCTTCCTACTGCCTCTCCCCCCCCTAATGAATCAGAACACCCCTCTGGCACTTGCAGCACAAGATTGCTCTTTTTGGCATTTTTTTGGTCTCTCCTAATATTCTGCTCTAAATTGCTTGAAGAGGTAGACTGCTCGTTTCATTTCTGGGTCCCCAGCACCAAATACACTGTGGCGTTTACTAAATGCTTACTACTTATCTCCTTTACTTTCTCTGCTTCTTTCCGGGGGTGGGGGGGGGAAGTTTTGTGGGATATGATTTTTCCATAGAACCTGGAGGATATTTCAAAGAAGTCTTTTCTATCGTCTCACTTAAACTCATTACACCTTTCTTACTCTTCCCAGATTTTAGGGAAGAAAATATTTGCTCATCATGGGGGTGAACCCTGGAGATTCTTTAAAGATATGTCTTTTGTGATTGTGTTCAAAAGAACTTGCATACCTGCGGATAAGACTTCCTAGAAAGCTTGCCATTTTGGCCTGTGTGTCTTTAAGAAAAAAATATTTTTGGAGGGGCGTACCAGGGATTGAACTTGGGACTCTCCCATACTAAGCTACATCCCCAGACCAATTTTGTATTTTATTTAGAGACAGGGTCTCACTGAGTTGCTTAGGGCCTCTATAGGTTACTGAGGCTGGCTTTGAACTCGTGATCCTCCTGCCTCAGCCTCCCAAGCTGCTGGGATTACAGGAATGTGTTGCCATGCCTGGCTAAGGAATGCTCTTGTTGGGCAAATATAAATCATATTAACTTTGTTATAAGTCATCTTTGTAAAATATGCCTTCACGCTCAGGCCTTTGACAAATGTATGTAGTAACCCATTACCCTTTTGTTCCCATGATCTCAAAGATGGTTCTGAGTGACTGAGATGTAAATCACACTCACCAGCCAGACTGACGGTGGGTGGAGCCTTCAGGGTCCCAGGGTAGTTCAGTTCCAAGCCACCATCCAGCCTCTGTGATTACCTTGCTTTTACTAATGAGCAAAATAGTTTTTCCAAATGTTGACGGACTTCTACTTCTGCCCAAATGTCACAGAAAAGATTTTGCCTTTTGGGAAAAATTTCTGCCTTGATAGATTAACTATCTACTTTGTGATTCTCGGCTTAGATCTGGTTTCAGAGCATATTTAATTTCATTATCACACCATTCTGGTGCCGTCACAAGGGTCTATTTCTAATTTCTATTCTAATTTACTGGGGAAATTATTTACTTAAGTTATTGCCATTGGCATTTGACATGGAACACAAATACTGGTTTTTGTTTCGTTTAATTTCCCCTGCCCCCGAGAAAGGAATCTAAAGAAATTAAAATCCATTTTCCATCTACCCTTTCTTTCTTGGTCCAGGAACATTTGAGATTATCATTAATGTGGGTCATTTCTAACCCGGCCAATGCAATTGTTGAATTTGTGGTTTTTTAGCAGATTTGCCGTTTGACTTTTCCTTTTTGACTAATGACCACTTTTAGGCCTTTCTGGCACATTCTCTTTCATAACATTTTAAATAAATAGTGAAATGTCATGGAAACCGGTACTGATTTCTTTCTTTTTCTCTGTGTGTATTTTGATTGTTTTTCTTCTACGATGATTTTAGCTGCTGTTTAGGAGTGTGAGATAGATAGTCCTTTTGAATGTTTTTTACGTACCTTTGGCGTGGGCCAGCACCACAAGCAGATCGACACAGGTGTTGAGGAAACTTCCAAGGAGGATTTATTAAGATTACAAAGAAAAAACACTGGCTTTTTTTTTTTTAAATCAATTTGCTCATTTGTATGTTTCTCTAATGAGTTGTCCTGAGGTCCTACTTTGTGTCAGTCACTAGGTGTACCTCAATTACTGCCATCTGGGCCAGAGGAAGTAGCACATGCCTGTAGTCCCCAGCTACTCAGGTGGCTGAGGTGAGATGATCACTAGAGATCAGGAGTTCAAGACCAGTCTGGGTAATGTAGCAAGACCCCATCTCTCTCTCTTTGATACCGGAGATTGAACTCAGGGAAGCTTAACCACTGAGCCACATCCCCAGTCCTATATTTTATTTAGAGACAAGTTGCTTAGTGCCTTGCTTTTGCTGAGGCTGGCTTTGAACTTGCAATCCTCCTGCCTCAGCCTCCCCTGCGGCTGGGATTACAGGTGTGCACCACTGCGCTCAACTAAGACCCCATTTTTTTTTTAAAGAGAGAGAGAGAGAATTTTTTTTTAATATTTATTTTTTAGTTTTTGGCGGACACAACATCTTTGTTTGTATGTGGTGCTGAGGATCGAACCCGGGCTGCACGCATGCCAGGCGAGCGCGCTACCACTTGAACCACATCCCCAGCCCCTAAGACCCCATTCTTAAAAAAAAAAAACAAAACACTGACTGGATATTTGGTTGAGGAGAACTAAGTTTAATTGAAGAACAATGCAAATGGGCATCTAATTGCAAAAGAGGCTGTATATTACTGGTGACATTGTTCACATCCTCAGGGATCTCATCAGCAATGCCATTAAGTATTGGAAAACTGTCAAGCTCATAGTAGCAGGTGTAAGTTTTCCAAAATTCTAATTTCCTCCTGAGAGCTCAAATTATATTATTTTTCAGCAAATACTGTCAATCATTTTCCTTGAGTGACAGACTGTTGGCTCATTTTCAAGATGTCACCAAACGCACCTGTGAAGCACAGTTAGTTCAATGGATCACTCTCTACTGCCTCCCTGGGCATTCTTCTGGAGAACTAGTGCTTTCAGGATTTTTTTTTTTGTATTTTTGTAACTGTGAGTGTGGAAATGAAGAATCCAACAGCCATGAGCACAGTGGGTACCTGGGCCGAGATTCCTGCCAACGTGCGGTCATTTCACCCACCGCTACTTTGGCACATCAGTTCAGATCTGATACAGCAAGAAGGCAAATTAGGCCCAAATATTATTCTAAAAATAATTTAGGCCTCATGAATCTCCAAGGGAGTATAGACCTCACTTTGAGGAAGGCTGCTCTGTGCTTTATTCGACAAGCCATTACAGAAAGTTACCTGTGTACCATTTCCTGAAAAAGATGCTTTCCTCAAAGTGTACTCAGATCTTGCTTATCTGATAGTAACTAAAATGAATGGCTAACATGTATTGGATTCCAACTATGTGCCAGGAATGTTGTGCCAAAGCCCTCAAATATCAGGTCCCCCTCGGGAAATCGGGTAACTTAAGAAAATTTAATAAAGAGATTTTTACAGGGATGTGGATAGACTACAGGGGAAAAATGATATAGAATCTGTGGCTAAGAACCCCTAGGCAAGGAGGAGTAAGGGCTAGAGATGGTTCCTGCACCTAGAGAAGGCAGCTCCTAGGAGCTGTGACCTTGAGGAGGGTAATGCAGCCACCTGCTCTGGCTCCTCTGAAGGAGCCAGGGTACTAAATACCCTGTCCTCAGTCCTCCAACCTCCTGCTGGTGCCTCCGTTGATCAAACCCAACTGGAAGCTATAGAACGAGGGCATCTGGGGTTATAATTAGTCTGGGTCACAGGGCCAGGTGAACAGGGAGAGAGAATGGATCAGGAGGGTGAATGCAAGCTTCTTATTTGGCACTGAACTTTATTTGTATTCTCATTTAATCTTTTTAATCTTTTTTTTTAAGTGGTGGTAAGGGTGGAATCCAGTTATTAATGCATGATAGGCACAAGCTCTATCACTGAGCTATGGTTTAAGATTTTTCTGCTATAGATACAGACCAAAATATTTTAATCGTGTCATACATACTGTATTACCCCAGCATCTGCTTTCTCCCAAGGTGAAATGCCACTTTTCTGAGTAACAGCTGGCTCTTCTAGGTACCTAAATAATATTTATGTGGATCTGTTTCATGTTTACTTTGCAATGGTTTGCATCCCCCCATTAGAGCACCCAAAATGCTTTTGAAGGAAGGCTGACCCCTGTGGGGTCACCTGGTTCACTAGGTGGCAGGCTAAGGATTGGGTTCTGTAGAAGACTGAGGGCAAGAGGTGTTCCCTGCTCACCCTTACTCTGCAGATGCTGCAGCCCTCTAAGACCAGAGCCACCCACCCCCGTGGGCCACGGCTCCAGCTCTGATGGTATCCTCTTGCCCTTCTGTACCCTGAGCCTTGCAGGCCTAGGTATGGTCCTGGTGTCTCTATTTCTGGTCCTTGGGTGCTGAAATGATCTACACCAGTAACCTCGCTTACATGGCTGTGAGTGGTTTCTTCTTTAAAGTTTCTTCAGGTGAACCATCTGAGGGGAACTTGTGGCTCAAGAGAAGCTCAGAGATTAACAAAGGCTAAATGACAGCTATGGACAGGGAAGGAGGGGGCCTCCCTGATGTGAGGAAAGAGGGAGGGTGGCAGACCCACAGGGAACTGCCCCCACCTGATGGCTTACTTGTAGGGTCATTCCTAGGTATCCCTGAGGGTTCTGTTGTAGAACCTCCCACAGATACCAAAATCCAAGGACGCTCAAGTCCCTTATATAAAATAGCTTCTGCTTTTCATAGAACCTCTGTGCATCTTCTGGTATATTCTATATTATCCTTAGGTTACTTATAATGCCTAATATAATGTAAATGCTATCATACATTTGCATTGTTGGGGAATAATGGCAAGAAAAAGTCTGTGTATGTCTGGTAAAGTGGTAACCAAGGAGAAAGGAAATTTCTAGATTGTAGTCCACCAAGCTTCTCTCAGATTGGTGGCTCCCAGTTACACTCCACAAACAGGCATGGGTCCTGTGGGGACACACCCCCTTAGCAATGGACCCCCTTGATTGTGGGTCTGACTGGGCTTCCCCATGGAGAGACACAGGCCTGGCAGGTGGTTTTTCCTCCCTGTCTGTCCTCCTACCCTCCCCTGACCAAGCTGTGCCCTCAGGAAGCACAGCCACCCCATGCACACAGGCAGTTTGACTGTCACGGTCTCTGTGGATGGTGCCTCCCTTCACTGTTGCTTGTCCCCACAGGAGTACATGCATCGCCTGCTGGCCCTGGAGCACCGTGCTGAGGAGCAGTTTCTGGAGCACTGGCTGAACCCTCACTGCAAGCCCCACTGCGACAGGAACAGGGTCCACCCTGTGTAAGGGCGTGGGCCGGCCCTGGTGCGGCCCGGCTTCTGTTGGAGGTGGGTGGCTGTGGATGGCATGTGCATGGGCTGTGAGACCTTCTGGAACAATGGTGAGGGAGCCAGCTGGTGGCTGCTTCTGGATTGTAGGCAGCAGCACAAGGCAGGAGAGAGACGGGAGCCAGGCGAGAGGAGCCCTGGGGAACACAGGGCTCAGCCACCAGGAGATCCCAGCTAGAGGAGGGATAGGACCCTGAAATCCACATCTGGGCTGTGGAGACTCCGGTCTCTCCAGGTGGGGTCAGCATCTGTGGGCTTGACCTGTGGCGTTCACCACAGTCATTCCTATTGGCTCCATGACCAGACTCCCTGACCCCCGCCCCGTCTCCCCACAGAAATCCGCCTGCCCTCTACCTTCCCTCTTCCCTGGCCTGCCCTTCCAGGCCACCTGCTGCAGGCTGCCCAGTGTTCCCAGCATGCCCTGTGTGCCTCTCCTCTGCTCCCCTGGTCCTGGAGGAGGTTGCCTCTCCCTGACTGTCCCTCTATTCCCAGCTCCTTCCCACTTTCCAAATCCTGTTAGATGAGGTAACAAAATCCCATCAGAGGTTAAGCCCAGTGTTTTAGTCAGCTTTTTTGCCACTGAAGAGAGAGAGAGAGAGAGAGAGAGAGAGACTCCATTGTCCAGATATAAAATATATACCCCATAGCCACGTCCCCAATGCCCCAATAAACCACTTCCTCCGGCCACACCCCACTGCCTCCAGCCACCACCCAGTTAATCCCATCAGGGGGTTATTTCACTGATTAGGTTAAGGCTATACAATTCAATCATTTCTCCTTCATACCTTCTTGCATTGGCTCACACATGAGCTTTTGGGGGGCACCACGGCTAAACCATAACACCCAGTGAATTTTGTTCTTTGCAATTTTTGTGGATCTAGCAGGACAGGACATAAGTGGGTAGTTAATGGTTAAAAGCAATCTTATATCTTTGTTGTTTATTTCATGATACTGTCAATTGGGAAAGAGATGCTTCCTTTAGAGTATCACTCTATGACTTCCAGGGCATTAGCATTTGACCTCCTTACCCCTCTCCTCCTCCCCCCCCAGGTGTCACTGTAGGGCATGGAGGAGCTAACTGAGCAGATGAGGGGACCCATGCCAGGCAGGGACTGGCATGCCAGTCTTCTGACAACTCCAAGTCCTGTGATCTTAACGTGGACCGAACTGCTTTGTCCTGTGTGGGGAGGACCCCTGAGGGGAGCTGGGTGTGGGAGAGAGACTGCATGTTTGAGGGCTGGGGCTGTGCTGTCACCCCTCTTCCAGTCCTCCCAGCCATGGGAGCCATTCTAGGGTGGGCATCCTGGTGTGCCTAGGAGGTCTCCTGACTCCCTGGTGCTGCTTCCCCTGCACCAAGGACCTTTGTCTTCCATGATAGGAAGCTCTCTCTTGGCTTCTTCCAGAAAACAGATCAGAAGAATGGAGAAGTTAGATGCTTAGACTCGGCCCTGGCCAGAGCGGGGGTTCCCCTTTCTGTGTCCTAGCTCTATGACCTTGAGCAAGTTGTTTCACCTTTCTGAGTCTCTGTTTCTGCTTTTGTAAACTGAAATAAGGATGTCCACGGAGCCCGGTGCTCAGCGAATGACTCTTTAAATGGTAGCACTTAGTACCGTTGTGTGAGGTCAGTGAGTGGGGAGGTTTCTGCACCCAGGGCCAGTTAGCCTCTCTCAGTAGGACAGGCTCTGCTGTGGGCCAGGAGGCCTGGCTCCTGCATATGCAGGTTCCACAGCAGCTACCACTTACATGAAGACGAGGAGGCAGTGGCTGGAGGGAGGGGACAGCTTGCAATCTGGGGTCAGTTTTCAGATCTTGAGTCCCCAGGTCACTGGCTGAATGGGGAAAAAAATGCCTGCTTCTCTGTTTCCTCATCTGTAAAGTAAGGACGGTAATGCTTCTCCTCGTGGTGGTTCTGAGGATAAAAAGTCAATGTGCCAGGCATGGTTATGCACACCTCTAATCTCAGTGACTGGGGATGCAGAGGTAGGAGGATCACAAGTTCAAGGCTGGCCTGGGCAACCTATCGATGCCCTGTCTCAAAATAAAAAATAAAAAGGGCTGGGGATGTTGCTCAGTGGTGGAGCACCCCTGGGTTTAATCCCAAGTACTGCAAAAAAAAAAAAGTAAAAAGAAAAATAAAAGCCAGTGCATGTCACATCAGAGTTGCCTGAGGCTACAGGTGAGGTGCTCTGGAAATGACAGCTGCTTGGTCTTCTCTTCCCCTCCTTCACCACCATCATCCTAACATTATTTTCTTCTTTTCCAGCCAGCATCTTGATGAGTAATGACCTGGATAATACTGCAACTGGTCAAAGCTTCTCTTCCTTTTGATTTTGAACTACAGAAATGGTTGTCTTCACTCCTCCTGGGCTTGGGGCCCTTGTGGGCAAGCCAAAGGTTGCTTTGGGGATGAATGGCGATTATAGTCTGCTTCATTGTACTAACCTACAGAAATCATTAGAACTAATAGCTCAAGGTGCAGAGCCCCTGAGGCCTTCCTACCTGTTCTTAAGTGTGGGTGGAGCGAGGGTCTTTCCTGGAGCTGATGGGTGGGTCCTGTAGAGGGGGAGTCGGGCAGGCTGACTGCTCTGAAGACCTCCGGGGTGTCTTGTTCACAGGAATGGACCACACTCCGGGGGGCCTCTGAGATTTTGGCCATCTTTTCTCCTTTTTTGTGTGTGTGTGCTAATAAACTTGGTGTTAAATCTGCTGTGACGTCACTTTTCGTTCCCTACAAGAAGAGGAGTGGAGATTTCCCTCCCTTGTTTATTTTGTACATCTAGTATCAGAAAACTTACTGGTTTTTGAATACACGAATGGAAGAAAAATGAACACCTAACAATTTTGCACACAGGCTTTTTTTTTTTTAAATTTTTTTTTTAATTTGCTCAAGGTCAACTCTGAAAATAGGACCATACCTCAGTACCAGGTACACACCCTCGTCTTCCAGCAAAGGAGACATTTTTTGTGGAAAGCAGGGTGCTGCTCTTGTAACCCATCACCTCACCTGCCCTCAGCCCCAGGGAATGGACAATCAAAGACCAAGAAAGGTGGGCTGAATGGTTCCAGGGAACATAGCATCTGGTGGCCTCAGAAAAGGGTAAGGAGGAATGCTGCCTACAGAGGAGGGCCTGGCCCAAGGCAGGTTGGATGGGTTTGTTGAGGGAGAAGGTCACTGAACCTCTCAATAATAACGTGAAAGAAATATGAAAGTTGTCAGAATAAAGATGGAGTGGCTTGTGTCAATCCTACCAAAAGAAAAAAAAAAGTAAATGAAGCTGGTGGGTTATGAAGGAAGGGTTCTTATGCACGATTTCCTGGGAGTAATTATCACAAAAGACCACCAGAACATGAGCTTGCACAGAGGCCACCAAAGCTTATACAAAAAGGACTTCTACAAGGACATCTGCCCAGCACCTGTTCAACCGTGGACTGATACCACTCTCGTTATTAATCACTATGACCAAGGGTTACTGTTTTAAAATATCTATTATAAATGTTTTAAAATATCTATTATCCCCCTTGCCTCTTTGAACGGACCTGTAGTTTACTTGGGCATGTGTATTCCCATTGCAATGCATTTCCCAAATAAATATCACAGTTCTTTTGAGAGCCCCCTCCTTGATATCTAGGTGTTGATGATAATCCTACCAACAGTTATTTTATACTTACTGTGAAACAAACCCTATTTTGAAAATAGATTACTTCATTGAACATCACACTTAGTCTATGCACCAGATGTGGTTGTTATCCCCGATTTATAGATGAGGAGGCTGAGGTTTACGAATTTAGGTAGCGTATTAGTTTTTCTATCTCAGCTGGACCAAATTACTTAGAGGCTTAAAACAATACAAATTCGTTATCTTGCATTTTGCATGGCAAAAGTCCAACATGTGTCTCAATGGGTTAAGATCTGGGTGTCAGAGGGCTGTGCTCCTTTCTGGAGTCTCCGGGGGTGAGTGTTTTCTGGACTTTCCAGCTTCTAGAGGCTGCCTGTGTTTCTTAGCTCTGGGCCCCCAGTGGCTAGGGAAGAGTCCCTCACCTCAGTCACTCTGACTCTTCTGTCTTCCTCTTTGACTTTTAAGGACCACTGTGATCACATCTGGCCCATTTGTGTAGCCCAGGGTAATCTCTAACTCCTCAATTCTACCTCTCATTTGCCATCGTCATGTAAGAGCACCTTGCAATTCACTCATATTGACAGGTTCCAGCATTAGGACATGGATGTCTTTGGGGAGGCCATTATTTTGCCTCCTTTAAGTAGTTTGTTCCAGTTCATGCAGCTGGAGGCTGAAATTGGAACCTAAGAAGCCTCTCCCTACTCTGAGCTCCTTGACACTCTGTACCTCTGCCCTAAGTCTGGGATCCTTCTGCATTGAATTAGGTGGTTTTCTTGGGCCAAGCTCCTGAAGACTGAGGATGTGTCCTCACTGGGCTCCCTGCACCCCTCACCTAGCAGGGGCATCAGCTGGGTGCCAGACATATTCCATGGGCTCTGACATTTGACACAGGGACTTGCCCAGGGCACAAGAAGCAGGGGCAGACAGAAGGCTCCTGCTCAGGGCACCTCCTCACCTGTGTCTCAGAGTAAGGGCTGAATATGGGCGCATGGGACAGAGACAGGTTCCAACAGAAAGGAGAGAGGCAGAGTAAAATAAGGTTGACCCAGAGGGAGCCAGGGGCTCGCCTGCAGGCCAAGGAAGGAGGGCTTCCTTGAAGTTCTAGGGAGCCTGGGTGTGGCTCATGCATCAGGACCTAAGTTCCCCAGAGGAACAGAAGGGAACCTTGATCAGCCCGTGGATGGAGCCCGGTTCTCAGGTGCCTCTCCTGGGCACACAAGATGCATGCTTTCCCAGAGCACCTTGCAATTCACTCATGGTGTGCTTGCGGCAACTCCACCTTCCTCTAACTCACAGAGCTTCTCAGAAGGCAGGAGAGACAGCAATGGTGTTAGAGGACTATCTAGCATA